AAAGAGGGATTAAGCAAATTAATAGATAAAATCGACACCGGAGAAATGAAGGTCAAACACAAGGGCGACGCCGTATTTTTTAAAAACATACGTTCGGGCGAGGGAATCTTCCTTTCAAAGTATAAAGGCAACGGGGTGATTTTTGGTACGAAAATGTAATAAATAAAAATGGGCAAAAAATTTAATCATTCAGAAATATTTCCTAATAACCCAATGCTCATGTGTATATGCGGTAGTTCCGGTTCTGGGAAAACTCATCTCACTTTTAACATGTTGACAACACCAAACCTTTTAGATTTCGATTCTCTGTATATCTACACAACAACACCAGAGCAATCGTATTATCAATTCCTCAAAGCTTTGGAATACATCTCGAAAGAAGAAGTTCAAGACATTTTTCACTACTACGAAAGCAACGAAGACTTGCAAGAGAACGCGGAAATAAAAGACATTTTAGACGGCTTTATCAAAGAAAAGAATCCTTCTCTGAAACCAACCGACGTCAAAGTGTTTCTTACTAAAAACGTCAACGATTTAGACTTGACTAAAATCGACAACCACCGAAAGAACTTGATTGTCTTTGACAACTGCGTAGCGCAAAGAAAACTGTTCAACAAGAATTCTTCACCAAAGGAAGACATCACAACTGTCACTGCATATACCAATTCCAATCTTTTTACGGGATGGATTCTATGTTCATTAGAAAAAATGCAAATTGTTTTTTATTATTTGAATTAAACGATAAAGATTTATCTCAAATCATTCAGTCTATAAATCACGGAATGGACAGAGATACATTTAAAAAGGTTTGTAAAGCTCAATGGAGAAACCCAGATGAACATGGATATGTATTTGTAAATACTAGAAAACCTGTGGGAGAAAGAGTTATGATCAATATATGTTAATTTTATTTTTTTAAAAATGACGGATTGGAATAATTTTTTAAAAAGAAATAGAGAATATATCAAAGCTAAGAATAAAATAAAGACCCAAGTTGAAAATAACAGATTACAACAATTCGGATTAACGGAAAATCTACAGACTCTATTCCAACCCATATTAAAAAGTCAAGAAGATATTAAAAAGAGACTCGTTATAGAACCCACACCTCATATAGAACCCAAACCGATTGAATATGGTGGTATTAAGACATTAGATGATATAAAACGTCTTTTTTCAAACCCTGACCCAGACTTACCAAAGAGCATTTCACCAATCGTTGATAATCAAGGTTTATTGTTTAATGGATTTAGAATAATATTTAGTCCAAATTCCCTTTTATTCAAAATCGACACAAAAGACTTTATATTTACATTAACGAGAGGGTTAATAGATTTAATGAATGGCGAGGACATTGAAATTGCCGATTACAAGGATTTAGTAGCATACTCAAAATTTCTACATGCGATCAGAAAATCAGGACCCGAAACAAGAAGATTGAAATCAGTTGAAACATATTTAAATAAAGTTATTCCTGATGAAGAGAAATCAGACGAATTATCCACCAATCATACAAGAAATAGACGAATTCGATGATATGGTGGCATCTGGGCAAGGTATAACATTTTTATCCGACGACAATATAGAATTGCTTAATAGATTAGAAATAATATTAGCGGCCATGAAGGAAGGTCATCGATCGGACAGACAATACAACGAAGTCAATGCCATATTAAAACGACTTTTGGAGAAAGAAATCATCACTAAAAAAGACTATATAAACGTAAATAAAGAACAATTATTCGTTATCACCCCGAATAAACCAGACATCAAATTGTCTCTAGACTACGAGTATGAACTCGATCGCAATAAACAGTACGAACTGGGATTAAAGTATTTCTCCGTTTACAATTCCATTAGAAACATCAACGAAAAAAACAATCAACTAAAAATATCGACGGATAACGGAGTTACGTTCGAAACCATAAGCTTACTACCGGGGAGCTACGTAGCCATCAACGAATACCTATCCGAATACGCAGGAAGCGTGAACGGCAAAAACAATATCGAATTCGAAGGTAATCTGAATCTGAACAAAATAAAACTGATCTTGAGGAATAACAGTCAAGTCGATTTCAACGTAGAAAATTCGTTGAATGCGTTACTAGGGTTCGATAAACGAATATACGCGCAATCGACATTGGCGCCGCACAAGGTCAACATCGAGAACGACATCGACGTGATCAACATTCACTGTAATTTGATCAACGGTGGATTTTTCAACAAGCACAAACGCCAAATCATATACAGCATACCGACTTTTACGGTGCCGATCGGATACAGAATTATAGAGAAACCGTTTCAAACGACCTATTTACCAGTCAATTCTTTCATGATCAAAGATATAAATCTGGAAATCAAAGACGGTAAAAACAGGTTCATAGACTTTGGCAACGAAGAAATTGTCATTCAACTTCATTTAAAACAATCTTCATTCTCTTCTTGATTAGAAAGATAATCGAAATCATCAAATTCATAGTTTTCGTCAAAACTATACTCATCTTTGTCGTTGTAAGGATACATAATTCCTTCACTGTTTGGTGGTTTTCTTTTAACATTATTCAAATAACTTCTAAAAACTTTAGTTTGTTTATCATTTGGAATAACTACCCCATTGGTGAAACTTTTTTCCCATGGTTTATTAAATTCGTTCGACACATCATGTCCGCTTGCTAACTGAACGTAATCTTCTACACTTATCTTATCATTAGAATAACCTTTAAACGTTTTCTTTTCTTTTAAAACACCATCAGAAGTTAGAACGATGTTGTATTTGACTTTTGGTGCTAAATATAAACCAAATATAATTCCACCGTCACCGTAATCGTTTTTACCTTTGCAATAGTCTTTTTCGGAGACCAAACCAGCTCTGTTTAGTTTTTTCCAATTTTTGGATGAAATGTACAAACTATCGGTGTCGGTATAGTATATTTCGGGTTTATAAAATCCATTTATGACGTGAATGAAATTGTTCATTATTTTTTTACTGTGAGATAAAACGAATGACCCCAAATGACTAGGTGTTAGTCGTGTAGATTTACTGTCTTCGATAGTAATCTCTTTTTCTTCAATTTCTGTTTCAACAATATATTGAGTATCATTAATTTTCTCATAGGTTTTAACGCGTGAATCAAAGTTGGCCTGTAAAGTTGCTTCATTCCATAAATGTCTAGTTGTGAATATGTCTTTCTGAATTGATTTACCATACAAGGAATTACCTAATAATTTCATGCAATTACTACCCACGATATTACCTTCTCGTTTATATTTATTTCTTAAATCTCTCAAAATTAAAATATAATCTCTATAGGGTGGAGTTTTAAAATTTTCTTCGTAAACTATACCATCTAATATTCTAATAATTCGTCCACCGGCTTTCACTATTTCTTGAATATCGACCGATGTTAAAACGTCGTGACAGAAACCATTTCTGAACCTGATTTTGTTACCCGTTTCCTTTTTACCTTCTTTATTCGTGAAAGTGATTTTATCTTTAGCTGATATCGGTTGGAAGAACGTGTTTTTGGGATAGTCAAACCACACTGTTAAAATAGCTGTTCTAGGTCTGAATTTTTGTTTATTGAAGAGTTTTACAAATTCTTTTTCTTCTAGTGGTAGAAACGGTCTTCCACTTTCGGCTCTCGGATATTCACTGTCTAAATCCGACATGGCGGAAGCGTATAAACCGTTAGCATCAAATGCCATTAGTTTAGTACATTCTATTTTTTTAAGTCTCGAAAGAACTTCCGTTTTGTCTTTTGTGCTTGCGCTGTATTCTTTGAATAAATCAATTATGTTATTACTATTCACTTTGTGAAATATATTCCTTTAATACGTTACAAATTTCATCCATTTTGTTCGTTTCAAATGATTTTCTATTTGCCGAAACTCTTCCTCCTTTAATAGATCGTCTGATAAAATTTCTTATAAAAGGATTAGTGTGCGAATAAACTTTTTCTATATTTTCTTTTTCGGTATGTTTCGCAACCATTCTAGTAGTTTCATACCATTCTTCTTCCACCATTTCTTTATCGTAATGATATAAATAATACCAACCCTTTAAAGATAAAGATGGAGCCGTTAGATTATTGGACATATTTTGGTTTACAACTTCTTTCGTGACTTGGTTGTATTTTATCAAACAAGCACCCAAACAGAAAGTGTCTCTCTTAGCGTAAGGTTCCCATTCGTGTCTCAATTCCTCCCAGTTGTCTCGCGTGTATTTAGGATATCTACGTCGGCAATCTTTCTCAAATTCGCGGGAAGATTGGAAGAATTTCCCCATGCTGCCAAACTAGAGGATTCGTGTTGATAGGAACACGTGAAATTAATATGTTGTAAATAATTACCCTTTCTTTTTGTCTTTTCCATTTTTTCTGTAAATCTTCATCCGTGTATGGATTAGATAAAGGAAAAGATAGAATTCCTCTGGGTGTTTTTAAAGGGCAATGCGTTAGTTTTTTTTGCATTTTTAAGCACGATCCAGTTGTCGAATCCACTGCCGTTATGAGAAATTAATATTAATCTCTTTCTATCATATTGACCTAAATATTTCAACATTTGATCGATGCAATCTGTACCTACAAATATTTCTACTACATTCATTAGTTTATCATAAAATTCTTCTGGAATGGGATCTGGCGGCTTTAAATCTGGAAAGAGATTATTTATTCTGTTTAACATTTTCCTTAGTTTTTCTAAATTAATTAAAGTGCAGGCATAAGGAATTGCTCTTCGCGTGTCTTTTTCAGAATACGTTTCGCAATCCCAAGCGAATAACGCATCATCACTCATACTCTAAAGCACGTTTAGTTTGAGGGGTGAAACCTGTGTTACTGCGTTATCGTCTCTACACGTTTTCCACACCTGTTCGTAATTGTCTTCTATTTCTTGAATACCCAAACTTTTTTGGCTTCTTCTAATCAAACAGAAATGCGAGTTGTGTAAGTAAAAAACCCAATCTAATTCATCGTGAACGTCTCTGGGGTGAAAATGTCTGTTTTTGGGATTATAAATTTGAAACGAAGTGTTGAATTTCTTGTTGAATTCATTCATTCTAGCACAAGTCATCACTCCTTTTCTATTTGCTTTTGAAAACCCGTTGATGTATTCTTGAAATTCTCTCGTGTAGTCTTCGTTTAAAACACGATTGACGCATTTGATAAAACAGTGACCATCTGTAGGTATGTAACAATTTTCGCCTTCGTATTCATTGATCTTTTTAAGCAGATCAGTTCCTCCTCTGCCAACTCTCGACCTTTTTATTTCTTGGAAATTGTCTTTCATTAAAATTATTTTTCCTGTAAAATACCAATCGGAAGCATCGGATTTTTTGTCCATATTTGAAAAGATATTGTGAAAGGTTTTGGCATTGAAACCGAGGAGTGACATGTATTGTCTGTGATTCCCTTCCTCGACTATCTCTCCATCTATTTTAATTTGTCCTTTGAATGTTTTAAATTTATCAGAGATAGCCTTGATAACATCGGAAAAAAGGGCGTTTTCTATCAGTGTTTCATCAAGTTCGATTTTATTCATATTTTTTTAAGTGTATATTTTTGATAATTTCTTTATTTTGACCGCTGATATTTCTGTATGGAATTTGTCCAAAATTTCATTGAATTCTTGTAATTCTTCAACTGTTATGTTCTTGTCTTCTCTCGATCTTTCGAAAAAGATGTACAATTGATTAAGATACATATTCAAGATTTCCGTTTTCTTTTTATAATGAGCTTTCTTTTTACTTGTGAAACCTAAAGTGATGAGACCGCAAGAAGTCGTTTGAACGGCTGTTAATGCAGCCAATACGGTTGGGACGATGACCGGAAGCATTAATCCACCTGTCACGGCCGTTGCCACCGTTACTCCTACCGTTAGAACTGTGCTCACTGTTTTGAAAAAAGAATCGATTCTACTCCATGTTTTCCTGCATGAATTGCACTGTCTCAACTTTATTTTCAACTCTTCTTGTTTGTCTATCATGTATTGTTGTCTGCTTTCGAGTTCCATTTTTTAAGTCGTTAAATTAAGTGAATTTCCGATAAATGGAACCACGGAATATCGTATAGAACATTGTTGTTTGGCCTTATTATTAAATTTTCGGGTACTAAAAGTAAAAACATTTACGCGTACTAACGACATTTCTTTTTTCGTATGGTCCTCTTTAAGATGATAGGAATATTTTCTTTTTTCTTTTTCGATGTTTATCTTGGCTCTAGAAATAAAACCACCACCTTTAAGGATGAAGTCGGAACTTTTATGAACATCGATCGAGGTGTATTTTCCACCTAAAACAAAATACAGTTTTACGTATTCAAAGTCTGTTGTTCGTAAAAACTCGTGACTGCTCGATTCTATTGGTCCGGGTACGTATACGGGTATTATAAATGGAATTTTGACAATGTTTGTTAATTGTGGATTTTCCGTCTCCAGTATCATATCCAAATCTTTGATTCCAATGATATCCTTATCATTTTCTACTTCCATTTTAAAGGTGTCTACATATTTACCATTTTCGTTTCAATTTCCTGATCCCTTTTATCAATCAAACGTATATTCTCTTCCAAATTACCATCATTGAATAATGAAATATGTTTAACGCCCTTACCGGTTTGTTTGAAGACTACTTTATTGACTTTAACCTTCACGGGAAACTCTATTTGAATCAGACAATTACCTCGAAAAGAAAACTCTTGCGTTTCGCCGATATCGAATACGTTTTTAGGTTCTCCGTATGCGAGAGAACCCACTTTTATTTCTGCTTTGAATCCGTATTTGTTTGATTTATAAATTTGGTCTTTTCTATCGAAGACAGTGTCACTTTCGAATGGAAGATTGAAATAATACGATTTGTCCGTGACAATAGCTTCTAATTTGCTCAACTTTCTCTCTTGTCTCAAAAAATCGTCATGAATTCTAGATACTAAAAGATTGACCTGTTCTTTAATATAATTTTTCATATCATCTCGAAATTTATTTTGAAGAAAGTTTTTAATCACACCCACTTCTTTTTCTAATTCGTCCGTGATTTTAGTATCCAAAGCAGTCAATTGTTGTTTCAACGTATCTTTGTCAATGGGAAGTGTGTTAATTATATCTTGAACATCTGATTTTTGCTTCGCGATCTTTTCGTTCAAATTGGATATCGAATTTTTTAACTCGGTTTTGTCCGCGGTCTTGTCTAGTTCTGCTAGCAATTCACCAAGTTTTCTTTCCAAAGCGGTTAGTTTTCGTTTCAATCTATCCTCGTTTACATTTGGGTTGTCTATTAAACGTTGGACGTCTATTTTTACCTTCGTAATCTTATCGTCTAATTTAGATATTAAATTTTGCAACTGACTTGTTTTATCCACTTGAATTAGACGTTTCAAACTCGTTAACTCTTGTTGTAGTTTGGGTTCGTCCACAAGATTTTTAATATTTCGTCTGATGAATCTTTTCACGTCATTTATTCTATTTTCAACATGGTCCTTATCTACTTGAATTGCGTTTATTTGATCCAGTAAATATTTCTTGTTCACGGCATCGTTATTTTTAGATTCTAGAAGTAAAGACCCTAATCCAAACTTGTTTGCCATTTTTATTGAGTTAAATTTATTATAATTTCTTCAAACTTTTCTCCCAAACTCAACCGATATAAAACCCAAAGCGACAGCTGTCCACACAGCTTTTGTCCTGGCATTTGAATTTGAAACGTAGAACATTTGATTGGTTTGCTAGTTAATTTCGTTATCTCTTCTGTCGGTTCTAGACCGAAAGAATCAAAGAAATAAAAGTTATTCGAAGAATCTTTTTGTAAAACAGAGTGATGAACTCCTTTTTGATCCGACGTGTGAATGTTTGTGATGGCGTAAAATTTACCTTTCTTGTATTTCAGGTCATCAATTTCATCTCGCATGCCAATAACTCCTTGGCCCATTTCACAAGTTGAAAATTTGTCGTCGTGTCTTTTCCGTATTTATAGAGAAATGCATTCATTTTTTAAGTTGATTTTTTTTAGGTGTTTTTCGAAGTAGGCGGAAAGTATTGCTGAAGACCCAATTGACGAAATATATACGTAGTTTGTGTTTGAAAAAACTTGTATAACATTCTGATAAAACACATTCAGTAATATTTTGAAGATAAATTTACATTTAAATTTAAAAAATCTTAATTTAAGAGAGCGTAAATGCTTGTCGACATCTTAATTTCTTAACCTTTCATCTAAATCTTCATTTTCGAGATTCATTTTTAAAAGTCAGTTTTTTGAAGTTCATTTTGATAAAACCTTCCTATGATTTGTTCTTTGTCTTGATCTATCAATTCATATCTATCAATTCATACGTGGGAGGTGATGTGTTGTTTACTTTATCAACGATGAATATCTCGTTAGTCCAATAGCCGACGTAACCTTTCTGAAACAATGATTAATATCTAAAAATACGAACTCGATCTCCAACTTTGAATTTGGGTTTAATATTCAAATTGCTAATCTCGTTTTCAAAGATGTTTCGAGTGTTGACGGACTTTATGATATTCGGGTTATTAGATGCTTGCGTTGGCGTCACACCTATAGACGAATGTATTTTGTTATGGTATTCGTCGACAACAACTGGTAATATTTTAAGCCATTTTTTGAGATTTCAATTCCGTGAATTTCTTGAATAATTTGCTTTAAGAGTCCTGTTGAATCTTTCTATCACTACGGCTTTACCTTCGTTATGCGTGCTGTAAATTACAAACCCCAGAGATTTCACATTTCTGTTGTAGAATTCGCTTCCTTTATCAACCCACAACTTTAGGGGTTGTCTGTCGGATTGTTTCATTATGGTTTCGAATGCTTGTTTGACAGTCAGACCCGATTTGTTTTTCAAGGGAAAGACCCAAGCGTATCTCGTGTATATGTCGATCACCGTCAAACAATACTTGTATCCTCTCTCGACTGGCATGTTGATTAAATTGGCTGACCAAATTTCATCTTTATCAAAAACTTTGACTTTGAGGTAATGTTTGTTTTTTCGAAATTCTTTGTGAATCTCGTCTGCTATGCCCATACCCAATTTCAATTTTGCCTTCAAGAGTTTTATGATAAGAGCCCTCTGTAATTTCTCTTTGAAAGTGGGATTGGGAATATTTTCGAGTTCGTCTATCATTTGTTTGTCTGCTTGGTGTCTGAATGTTACGTCTTTATTTCTGTACAGTATGTCGTGTTTGAGCGCTGCTGCGTCAACTCTATTAACGGGTTCTTCCCCTGGTTTGGGATTATCATTTTCGTCTAAACGCAGATCTAATCTCGTGCCTGGACCTGTATAATTGTGGCCTGGGAGATGTTTTTCTCCGGGATATTTTGCCCATCGGAATCCAGGAAGAGAACCCAATGACTTTTGAATGTCTCCCGCACCGAAATACGTTTTAGGAGGATGGACATTTATTAACGACATATTTGTTCAACATATATTTTTAATACGAAAGATTTAATACAAGGAGGAAATTTGTTGTTTGAGACAAAATTGGCCACTTTGGGGATGAGAGATGTTAGCGCAGAGAAGAAACCGTCTCCTTCGAATTTTTTTTGTTCGTGTTTTAAAATTAAAGACATTTTTAATGCGGTTATTTTATACTGTATTATTATTAGTGATTCTTGTCTGTGGTTTGGGTAATTTATATGGAGTCTGTTATAATACAGTTTGGAGGAGTTTGTTATAATACAGTTTGGGGAGTCTGTTATAATACATTTTAACAGTTGTGTCTTTTCGGATATGACGCATTGAAAAAGCTGCGCATGCGCAGAAGTGAAATGCGTCATATCTGAAAAGACATATACTACTAGTACAAAAATGTCAATAAAGAAGATTTAATACTATACAGTTTATACAATAGAGCTAACACAGTAGTGTTGATAAAATAGAGGTAAATACAGTAGAGTTAATACATTTGGGTATATACTGTTAGAGTAAATACAGTTAATATGTATAGTGGTAATATGTATAGAGTTAATACAGCAAAGTTATTACAGTAGGTTAAATACAGTAGAGTTAATAACACCCCCCCCCCCCCCACTCCTTTGGCTCCGCCCTTGAACACAATAGGGCTCATACAGAAAAGGAGTAAAGTTTTTACAAAACAGTTAATACAATACAGTTAATACAATAGTGTTAATACAGTAGAGTTAATACAGAAGAGTTAATACAGTAGAGTTAATACAATAGTGTTAATACAATAGAGTTAATACAAAAAAGTTTATACAGTAGATTAACATACCAATTTCTATAAAATGTTTTATTTTGGTTTGTATAGCCGGGGTTAATTTCCCAGTACAATGAAGATATGCCCAGATATAGATATTGGGTACAAACTTAATCATATTCTGTTCTCCACAACCAGATGGCCTTCTGATCCATTTGTTAATATCCTGCAGAGCCGAGCTGAGTGGATCTCCTACAAATAACAATAAGCAATTTTTAGTTATTTAACTGTAAAGCATCTTACAGTTATTTATAGATTCCGATCAAATGTCTGTAGTATTTCAATAAACGTTACTAATAAAACCGTGACAAAATTTAGCGTTCAACCGGTACATACATGTGTACAATGAACGTGTGAACTCATTGTGTATACTGGAGAAGCTTTTTTCAATTCTATTCTTAGCAATTGTGCTTTCAAAATTAGAAGACTTGAAATTACTTTCTTAATGTGCATTACTTTCCTTGGGATTCTTAGAGGGAATATGTATAGGAAAAGAAATACCTGGTTTGGGATATTTGTGAAAGAATCATGCGATTTTCTTACCTTTCTTTTACTTGTGAAGATTATTTAAATATATTCAAGACTCAATAAACCACCCAAAATGACGCATCTGTCCCTTTAAGGACATGATGCAATTCCAAAATCAAGTGCATCCCTCATTCAGCATGTAAAATGGTTTGTCTCTCAGGGTCATTGCACCAAAGAAATTCCTTCCGGGGGTGTTAAAAATGGAAGCCTGGGGAGTTCTTTGGTCATGGTTTAATGCAATTTTCAATCCATTGACAAATCGTAGATGTATACTGACAGCCGAAGAAGTTGTAAATGCTATCGCTTCAGTCGTTAAACGCAGAGCAATTGTGAGGACTGAGAGCTTGGGAAACAAGTTCCGTGCATCTTGAGAATTCGTGTCCATAATGACAATTGGTAATTGAACAATGGCGGTCATTGTGTTTTAACACCTGGATAGCAACCCTCTCTGAAAGAGTAGTTCCTGGGGAACTGTTATGCCAAATTTAGTGCTTGTATCACCAAGCAAACGATTATTATGACTGTTTCAGCTATCTGCGGCTCAAACGAAAATAACTCTTTTGTGAATTAAATTCTAATAATTCTCATAACGTAATAATGATAAATATTTCAATGAAGATATTATTAAACTAATCATGTAATTCATTAGTGAGATAAGGTAAATTACCATAAGCAGTAACGACAACTTTCTATGAATCTGGTACAACATTACTGGGATATCGTATTTCTACGCTTCTATTGAAATAATTCTGTTCAACCAAATCTACAATCACTACTTCATTGTATTCTTGTGGTATTCCTTCAACCTATTAAAGATATTGTTAAGAAAATAACGGTCTAAATAATAACAGTGGTATTTAATGAATGACCTGAACATTTTTTCAGTTTATTGATGTATAAACAGAAAAACCTGTGTACACTGTATAAATCCGCGTATACAACTCGAATACGTGTTTAAATATTTATCTAAAATTGCAACAAACTAAGGCACAAAAAAAATAACTAAAATTTTAACATATCGTTATTGAACTGATACTAACAATAGAGACGTCCTAGAGAACAGCCAATCAACAATAAGTAGGTCACCTATTTATAGTCTACTGTCTACTGCTTGAAAGTTGACGGAGCGGCCACATTCAAAGTTCAATTATTGAAAGCCGAGTTCCAGATAAGTCCAAAAATCATGATTTTGTTGATATTTGAAGACTCCACATTCGAAGAATTTTGGAAAATGCCGTAATCATGTGATCTGTTGCCGTTCGAAGGAAAGATATCGACGATGTGTCAAACTCAATGATAAAAGTAGTCCGTTAAGGGGCGGAGCTTATATTTACATTCCGTTTACACAGATATAAACCGAATTCACGTGATCGCTGTTATCCATTCAAATTGCGTGATACCGTGTAAACGGCATCGCGATTCAATTATATATATATATGTACAAGCACGCGAAAAAAGAAGACAAAACAAACGACTCACTGAAACTTTCAGTCGGTCATTTATACCATAACATTACAAATTTAAAACCGTATGTCAGCACAGATTCTTTTACGACAGGAAACAAATTCATAAAATTTAAACTGTGGTCTGATATTACCCTAATTGTTATATTAAAGAAAGAATTCAAACCCAATGTGTTTCCCATAAAATTCACACAATACGAGCGCAAGTATTCTTGTTATAATATCTATGACCACAAAATTAGTTACCTCAACAAGCATTGGCTTTATAATCCTATCACCAGCTTGTAATGTAACAGTTCTAGCATAAACTTGTAGATCGATAAATCCAAGTTCCAGAAATCTAACAGTAAAATAAGCAGTAGCAACTCCATCTTTAGGTACCTAAAATAAACGAGGGTATATATAATATTTGTAAGACATTTAGAAGTATCACGGCACATTAAGAAACAACAATTTTTTGGATATGGACTTTTATTTATTATTTGAACACAACGTTTCATTACTCATACATGTGACGTTCTCAAGTGATGATTAACCATAAAAATAGGATATTAACATCTTACAGCTATAAGTATTTTTATGTAGGTATATATGTATAAAGAAACCAGCGCAAGCGTCCGCAAGAATCAATAAATTGACTAATGTTTATTATTTTTGTCTCTGTTACCATGGACTCGACTTCAAATCCGTCAGCATCAACTTGAATAATAACAAAGCCTTTTGGATTCTCTAACATTACTTCAGCCTGAAGACATATTAAAGGTTATATACATTGCATGTCTACGGTGGTTCGTATACGACATCATTTATTTTTTTTAATTTTTAATGAAAAAAAACTGGAATATAATTAGAAAACATAATTTTGAATTAAAAACTTGTATTTTCACTCGGATGAAAACTCTAGAATTTTGAATTAAAAACTTGAATTTCCACCCGTGTGAAAATACAAGTTTTCATTTCAAAATTATTTCTTGTAATTATATTCCAGTTTTTTAAATTAGAATTGAAAAAATAAATAATATTTCCATTTTCAAGAAAGGGTTAGTGCAGCAGTTGAGATCTCTTGAAAGTATAGAAAAGTTGGTAATTCCAGTAACCAATATTATATAGTTAATTTAATTCTAGAGCATCAAAATTGTATTCATTGACATTTAATATACGGAATTAAAAAAATGGACATGGTTGCAGCTGGTACAGATTATTGAATATTGAAAATAACATGTTATTGATGAAAAACGTCTTACCCCGCTTACATAATTCACAAACATACAACGTGTTTAATGTATCTCAATACTAATTTCTAATCCATTATTGCAATATCTTTACAACACTTGGCATGTATATATTTTACAAAAAAGAGGTCAAGTGGAAACTTGTGCAGTTTGCGATTAATTTTAGTTAAAAAGCTTGAGCGACATATATCAATTATGATCAAAAGCAAAGAGAGAACTCCGGCAGTTCCGAAACGATTTTGAAAATATATATTCACAGAAACCGACTAGAGGTACTTTGGTTTTCAACGCAAAAAAAATGTTAAAGTTTCGTTCAGAAACTGAATGCCGGTTTGACGTGATCCACTATAATATATTATTCCCATGGTCAATGGGTTTCATTTGACGCAATGTTAAAGTATAATTTCCATAGCCAAGCCAATATACAAACCTCTGTATCAAAGCCCAGATAGTTAAACACACTGGCTTTTATAACCAGTTCTTCTCCTCTAACAACAGAATAGGGCAGATTTAACATCACAAAAAACTCTCTAAACGCTGTCAGCTGTAAGATAGAAGTATCATCAACGGTAGATACATGTAAAACAAATATGGCCATGGAAGAGATGGTGCTATAATTTACGTGATAAAAGTTGAAAGTATATTATAAGTATTAGATACTTTATGCCAAGATCCTTAAGTGTTCATGATATATTAAAAATTGAAGGAAGCATAGTAAAATAGGGTTATAGAATATGGAATCATGTGGAATGTTATATTCACCTCAGCTATTTCTGACGTCATACCAACTCCTATTGAGGGATTAGGACTGATAGCAAAGGCACTGGCAACCCACGTTGTGATAGTGTCTGTTACCTTTAATGTGAAGTTGGCGATCCCTGTAGAGCTGCAATACACAAATAATAAATTAGAAATTGTCGTACAGAACCGATCTATTGCAATTTATCTGTTTATATTCTATGTCGATTTAAAACATCGTCATTAGATAAAAAAAAAAAAGTGGAGGTAGAATAAGAATCAATTTTTCAATTTTTTTCTCTGGTATAAACGGAAAAACTTGAAGGTAAACCATGAATTCCATTAAAATCTTCGCGATTAGTTAGGTCATAAAACGGTGGAATTGCAGGAACCACAGACGTCTGATTGAAAATTGATGCTATCAGTGTGCCTGATACACATAAACAAATTTATAAAACCTCTTAACAATCCCTTTTTAATTAGATTTTAAATCGTTATTTAGGTTTCTGGACAATCTTCTCTTGTCGTTAATGATATGCTCGTGCTTTAATATATAAAAGAAATAAGGTGATGTGCTGATTTAATCATTTCTGGTATATTGAATTACGGTATTAGAAAGTGTTATTGTGTATTTATAGGGTCTTATATGATAGTCACACATAAACTTCTGAGACATACTATTACGATCAATACTGAAGTTAAGATTCTCATGATCAATCTTTCTTTGTGTATAACGTCTTCTTGAGGTAAAGGCATCCAAAAATGTGTAGATTCTTTCATAGAATACTGCACTAAACATATTTGATATTGGACTTTCGAACGTCTCGAGTGTCACAGAAGAGGTTCATTTCAAAGGCCGAAAACGTTTTTCTAGACGAGACAGGTTTTAAGAATTCACTGTCAGTGAACACCGTATAGGCTTGTTAAAAATGATATAATAAAAACGAAATAATAAAATAATGAAATAATATCTAACCCAGCATTTTGGGAGTCCCAAAGCCATGTTTCTGGAAAGAATAATCTAGCAGGAACTTCTTCAAAATTACTTGATGTAGCTTCATAAGGTGTTCCGGTGGTTGTTGGTAGTGCAGGTGCTATAGAAAACAAAAATGATTTTTCAGTTAATACAAAATGGTAAATAATAAACATAAATCATAGTCCAAATGTCCTAAACAAATCAACGTAAATTCCAGTTTTAGAATAAATTGGACTTTGAGTTCTCTGTGGTCGATGTTAAAGTTGTTCTTTTAAGTACAGTGTCTTCAGAATATTTTGAACCATTTGTATGCCGGAAACCAGGCTTTTATAGATATCTAATCATATTTCCTCCCATGACCTAATCCAATATTATATTCATTTGTGGTTTTCAGTTGATATGAGTGTTGATAAATTAAAGAGAAAATAAGAGTTTACTAGATGGGAAGAGGAAACATGGCTCTGGCTCTTGGTATCTATAGACCAAAGCATCAGTTATTACATCTAAACCAATACTCTATTAAAAAAACAAAGATTACATTTGAAAATCAGAATTATATGACGACAGATCCATTTATGTGAGCAATATCCTTCCCTCCTTTTCTCTGTCAAAAGATTGCTAGGGCTTAATAGTTTATTTATGAGTTACATTCTGGCAAGATCACATCCTCAAAAAGAAATCCGAAATCCAAACCAACAACAATAAATTGTTATCAGCTAATTATCCAACATCCGATATGCTATAATAGACCCAACTAGAACGTCCTTATAATTTTAATACAACCTACCCTGAACATATCATCAACATCGATCCCAGATGTTGTATAAGCGTATGGCCACCATACTGATCGTTTAGCACGAGAGGTTATTCAGATTCATGCCTTTTTCTAAAGAAAGCTTCCCTCTTCTTTCTATAATAATTCCCACCACCAACTGCTAAGAATCCTTCAACCTAAAAAATAACAAAAAATACATTTTTTACGTTTGCATTACATTTGACAGTCCTATATGAAATACCATCTACATAAACCCTTGAGAAATTGTGTCTCTTGTAGATCTTTGGCCAAGTAGAATATGTTGCGAGCGACATTAAAACAAGTTTAGTTTTGTTACTATTTATTTGAAGAAATATGACCAAAAGAATTATCCTATTTTTTCCACTTTTTTCTGGTTTCTTGGTCTTCGAAACATTACTGAATGCAGAATTCACAAGCAAATATATTTTTTGTATGCCATGGGCAAGCACAATGACAAACAGCAAATATTTTGATCATAAGAATCTTTTCAATTTGTTCAACATAATACAATGTATTAGTTTGTTACGTTTGACTTACACCTTGGCTGAAATCATCTGATGCTTCTCCAAGTAAAGTGGTGCTTTTATCAACAGCTACAGCATATACATTAGAATTTCTGTAAGCTTTAACACTGAGAGTTGATATGGATCCAGTTTCTACTTTATCCGAATCGAACATTAACGATACCTAAGATAATAGAAATTTACAATGATGTACAACATGTTTTTGAGCTTGATTTCAAGAATTGCTAATACAGACCCTAGCTTGTCACCACAATGGAAAAATTCTACTCGTAGTAATTCAAGTCCACAACGACTGCTCAATAGGTGATAAAAACGAGGTGAATATTCTGTATACCCGATTCTAACCTTGTTATTGTAAAATCCCTCAACATTAAATGAGATAGCATCAGCAACAATTTCTTTATCTTCCACTCTAATAAATACTATGATTTTAAGCTTTGGTGCCATATCGCTAGTTACGGAAAAGCTGAGAATTTGAGATTTACTTGGTGTACTGAAATCTTGGTGATTTTCTGTGATCAGCACTCCTCGAGACAGAATCTGTAAAACAAAATGACAGTTTATCCCTAGGTTTATTGTGAGGAAGAAAGATTCGTTAATTGTACAATTACATGGATACAGATTTCTAATAAGTGACTTAAAATCTTGTTAGAACTTACTTGATTCCTCTTGGTCGTACAGTTTTTTTGGCTTTCCATGTCTATATATTAACATTTCCATGCTACACTGTTTATATGTCATGCTAACTGTTTAACAATCAGTAACTTAATTTTCTTAGTGTTTTAATTTAGTAAAATTTAATATTTAATTTTCTCAAATCTTTTTCTGTTAAATAATCATCCGAATATTAGTCACAGGTTCGAATATAACTCATTGTACATCACTCTTTATTACTAACCTGGACTCTATTACTTACTGTGTAATAAACTCTACTAAATTTTCGAGTAGCTTTGAGTTCGAGCTTAACTTTTTGTCCAGATGCTGGTTTGTTAGTTTTAAGAGATACAGACAAGAATGTGTTGCTCGGGGATCTGAAAGTTGTTAGAGTCCTTGATGTATATACGCCAGTATCTTCTACATAATGTACCTATAAAATCAATTAATAAGGAGAGTCTGAATGTCAAGGTAGCATAAGATTGGTCTTCGATTTTCAAATATTCATTAACTGTTTCAATACACCGTTAAGATACAACTTTTCATTATGATATTTTTCCATTTACACGTCCTGATATGAATAGTATTAACTGTTACCAATGTAATATCTATGTTATCATGGATCTGAGGTTTCTTTTTGCTGTTCGGATAGTGAGTTTTTGGTTTTTTTATAATGTCGGTAATACGCAAAAGACATAATGACTTTGATTAATGTCAGACTTGATGAAGTCGGACTTCCACTTAACATTATTTGGTAAGCAAAGCTTCTGCTTTAGCCGAACTTAAAGTATGGTAGATTGCTGTTGCAAATAATACTATTTCGCCCCTTCCCGTTTTGCCCCTTCCCAATTCGGCCACTATTTATTCCCATATCGCCTCTCCCATTTGGCCACTTCCCATTTTGTCCCTTTCACAAATCCTCCCTATTCAAAATTGCCCCTTTCCAATTTCGCCCCCTTTTCATTTTGCCCCATTCCCATTTTGCCCTTTTTTCCCACTTCGCCTATTTCCCAGTTTGCTCCTTTTCGCCTTTCGCCGACATTTTTCATTGCATTTACAATAGTTTAAGAGAGTATAAGAGTAAGTTAAATATAGAAAAAGAATTGCAATTAAATTGATATATGAAAAACTTGAAAAAGGCGTAGGCAGCCCTCAAACAATAACATATTTGTGGTTTGAAAGTTTTGCCATTCCAGTCTACTCTTTATTAAATTTCCAAACCATAGTACCGAATTGGACCGGAATCAGTACAAGCATAATTGTATTATTTAAAAAGGAAGGTGGCGAAATGTGAAAGGGGCAAAATAGCAAGGGGCAATTAAGGAAAGGGACGAAATGGGAAGGAGCGAAGTGGGAAGACACCGGCATTGGTAGTGGTAGATCAAGTCATTCAAGATTATGTTGTAATAACACTATGAATAACAAAAACAAACAGAACGGAAACGAATGTCATGTCATGAAAAGACATGAAAAGAAATCGCGAGCAGTCTCATTAAAATCAGCTCATACTTTTAGTATGGCCACTTAAATGAGGGTCTAACGACAGCCATCTTGAACGTTCAGTTGAGCCTCCAATTACCTCATCAGTCTTTATTCGCCTCTCTAAACGATGGAGCAGTGGCAACGACCATTGGTATGTCCAGAGTAGTTCGAATTGTCGTGGAAAATCTTAGAAGTTGTCCTTTTTATACAGCAAACATGCGTCCAATAGTATTTGTTGTGATCACATGAGAAGTGTTATTGGAGAGATCCACTCTTTACTACTTTTTTGTTTTGTTTTTAGGTTTAAGTTTGAATTATACGTTGTGTTTCTTTAAGTGCAAAATGTATACCATATTGGTGTTAAAAGATAAGCCTGGCATTGATATACAGAGTACCCTAAAGCTATTTATTAACCGCCATCTTGACGTTTGAATTTCAGCTAAATGGCATTGTTGTCGAATATTCGAGTGTCGCGTGTTGCCCCAACGGTTTTTGCTAAGATATCACCAATCTTGCTACGATTTCTCGAGTTGTATACACCAATATTACACTTTAATATTAATAGAGTTTCAACCCTTGCGTTTCCCTTGTATAGATAGCCAAATCATAGAAACCATGTCGAAGAGTTATTTTCATTTTCATTATCAGTCGGAAACTATTTAACAACGGATCTATAGGCATTGATATATTTTTGACAGTTATACTGTCTGTAGAGTGGCGGATGGTCATTATTCCCCTTATGACCCTGATGCATACCAGCGTAGGTATATATATATATATAACATATTTTTACACTTCTAGATTCCTGATACCACTTTTCTGTATGAAATACTTATTCACTTATAATTGATATACTTCCTAAGAAAAAGTTCATGAGCTGCTTCCAATGTTTCGCCAAAATGTTTCTGATCTCAGGTTTCGTTTTGCGGTTCCGATCGTTATTAGGTCCACTCGATTTATTTATGAACGCATTACAAATTTTTTCTTTGGAATTTTATATTCCATATAACAGATCTGCCCCCCACTATTTCAACCAATTCTTCAATCATTTCAGTTGTGCTCACTTTTTAGCTTTGGAAGTCATCCTGCTAACTTAGTTTTTCCCATCGTTTGTCACCGTCCAAAATCCTTCAAAAACTTTAACCAAGTTTTCTTTGAGAGTGACAATAGGCTTAAAGATTTCCAAATGTTACTCACGTAGCATATATTATTTTCTATCTATGAAGATTGGGAACCCTTGACTTGACCACTATTAAAATAAATATAAAACGATTGAAAAATAGTGTATACTGCAAGCTAACTGATTTTTCTCCAAATCAGACGTTTCAGGGATATAATCGTCTAAATATATAGTATAGGATAAAACTCGACTGAGGGAATGAAAGTATATGAAATCGTCTTACATTTAGATAAACCTCCACAGAATCGGTTTCATTCACCAATAAATCATACGTCACTAAACCGTTGGCTGGTACAGTCAAATTTTTTTCTGGTAAATTTCCATATCTATATTGTGGATCCTTACAGTTAGGGTCATACCAAGGCGGGTAGCCACAGCGACCATAGCCCCAGCCATAATGACCATATCTCCATCGAGGAGTAGTAGGAGGAGTTGGCGTGGATGAGTTGTCCGGGTTCTCGGATGGTTGTGGTGGTTCTGTAGCTGGTTCTTCCTGTATGAGGATTTTAACCCTGGCACTTACAATAATATTACCTGGTTCCAAAACTGGTTTGCCATCAATCTGCTTAAGTTCAATCTAGAAGCAAATAAAAAAATATTGTCTATTATTTTCTGAGAGCTGTTTTAAATTTTAAGCTTACATATATCAAAAATATATTGGTAGTAGCAGAGAGAATCCTCTATCTAATCATTCTGACTACTATTAACATCTCATTCAATGTCTCGCTGTAAAGTTTATGCTACACACTGGACTTGACTACGATGCATGCCTCAGACGCCATCATGACTGATGACATTTTCTTCCCTGCTTGCATTAAACATTCAGATTTTGCCTCCAGCAAAGTTGTATAGAATACTAGCAGGCCTTCAGTAATTTTTTTCTTTATTGGAATGTAAATATCAGATACTGATTCTAATTTCTTATTCTTACAATTTCCAAACATTTTCCAAACAATTTCCAAACTAAAAGTATTTCGGTAACTAAACTTACATAGAATCTGTTAACTAGTATAGGCTTATAGTTTTTTGGATTCCGAACAAAGCTTAATTTTTCTCTATTACTAGTCACTGAAATTTGACTAGTTGGAGAGATGTACGTCGCTCCAGTTGCGTCATCAGTCACATTTACTTGACCAATTATTGTCTTGTAGGAAAGATATCCTCCATAGGTTATTGTCTTTAATTCTTCTGTTGTAATAATAGTAGTACCTTTTCCATTTTTATCCAACTAAAAACAACAGACGCTTAATGTACCCGTAAATATGTAAAAAATTATTAAGTAATATTAAGTAATATTTAACGAGATGAAAAGGAGTAGGGTCTAGTATATATATATATATATACATATTTAAAAAATATTGTTACTCTGATTTACTCAGGAATAAACCGTGGGACCAAAGTCAGAACTGACAATTTGAGAAAAATGTGCTTGAAGATTTAATCGCTCCTATAAAACAAGAAAATCCAAAAACCAAAACGTTCAATGGTGTTTCTGCTTGCAATGTAGATTCCCTTATGGGATTTCTTATCATAAATTGTCAAAAAAGGACATAGTCATTTCTGGAATATCGTGAAAATTCACAGATATTTAAGTAGTTTTTTTATTTGAGGCGTGTGGTCACACTCTCACACCTCACAAACACCAACCAAGTTTTTGGAGGTTGATTACACAAATACAGAGTACTGCTTCAATATCTGAAAATTTGCACGATGTCTCGGTTAGTTTATGTCCATCATTGAATCAAGAATTGTGCCAGAAATGGTTATGTCCTTTGTCGACAATTTTGACCCTTTTTAGCAATTTATTTTCAAAAAGGCTTATAAGGGAATGTAGACAATGCAAGCAGAAACATCATTGCACTTTTTAATTTTAGGATTTCCTGATTTTATTGAGGGAAAGAATTTTCAACCTTGTTATCCTCAAAATGGAGATTTTGGACATCAAGAAAACCTTGACTTATTCAATTCTGGATGCAAATTTACATTCACGGATGTTCTTCGGGCCCACGAAACTAAGATGAAGGTTTATTTCATGTAATAATCCAATCGGCTTCCTTAGCTTAACGGAATATATGTAACAAAATGCATATTCAATATATTCTCCCCTTAAACAATGTAAAAGTCTGTCTTTTCCTTGAATAAAAAATTTCAAAATGAACACACTGTTGATCCTATTTCTTTTTGCGATATGATCTTAACAAGTTATAGATCAATAAGACAACTTGGGTTGTTCTGATCGGTCAGTTTCCGAGCTAGTTTACATTATCTGGATTTATATTTCGTAATATATGAATGGAAATAGACTGTCAATGTTTGGAAACGTTTCGACTGGAAAAATATCTTTTAATAGACAATATCATACAGTAAGGTTTGGGTTATCCACTCTGGCCTAAACATTTTGGTAAATTTCATTTATACATATCGATTTATGTATTGCTTTAAAGATGTGAATTTGCACATTTTAATTCTGTTCGAATTGTTCCGCTAAGTTAATAAGAATTTACACAAGAATCGGCAACAATATTTTCATATTAACCCTGTATGAACTGTTGACCTGACATGTTACTTAATCTTTTAAACTCATATATAACCTCTTAATTAATAGTATTTTTTATCAATTTTTTTCTCAACTGTTGAGGTTGACATCTAAAACAAAAACATTGTTAGAAAGCTTATGACAAGTACAGAATAATAACATCAAATTTAATGGTGAAAAAGTCCAAGTTTGTGTTATTTAATCCACCAAAGACACGGAAAATGCAAATTACCCATTTTCAGAGTCGTATAAATCAAAAGGTAATTATGAGAAGACAAATTCTTTGCGAAACATAGTCCGGAAACTCTTGTGATTTTCGTCTTTTTTCGGTCATTTCCGGCTGTTTCCGTAAATTTTCCAAAAATGTTTTTTGGAATCATAATTGATAATTTGGCCTTTACTCATCTACCAAGTTTCGTGAAAATCGAATAAAAATTAAAGAAATTAAATCTTGATCAAAATTCAGTAAAAAAAGTTAGCGACAAAATTTTCGAATTAGGATTATCCGAAACTGCAGTCTGCTTGAAAGTTTTACCAAGAATACATATTTTGAGGCAAATCGAACAAAAAAAAAAATAGCCTTTAATGGCGGATTTCTGAAATTTAGGAGTTTTCCACTACACCATTCCTGATTGGAGTCTGATGTCTGGAGAATATATTTAAAAGGTAATTCCGTGGTCTGGAATGTCTGACCTAAAGCCAAAATGTTCTAATGCGAAATAGCATGTTTTGACATAAAAAGTATTGAACGAATTTTGGAAAATCGAATATTTTCAACTCCTATCATTTGTTCTTTGTACTACATATTATAATAAAGGAAATCCGAGCAAAATTCCCCCCCCCCCTACAGTACTTGTAGAACAATCTTCTCTGGGCTGCTGGTTCTGGATCGTAGGATGGGGTTCATCCCCACACCTTCCACCTCTTATGGGTCAGTAGTCCCAGCGGACAGAGAATATCCAAATTTCCTTTTTTATCATTCTCCCTCTGCTCGTCTTGGGGATATGCGTAATTACCCCAGGGTGGGTCGCCTATGTCCCTAACGCGAGCGGAGCGAGTATACAAATCACTATTCATATTTCATACAGCTTTACATTTAGTATATTTTAAACCATTACAAATTGAATTAATTAACTGTGATATCGCGATCTTTCCACTGTGATATCCTCCTACTTTTATGTAAATTTATGGGTCAGATCAACGTAACCATATTTTCCTGTATCTGGATCTTTTTTATATTTTCTTTTAGGATAATAGTTAACAATTATCCTTAATCTAGCAGATCCATTTACTGGCTTACCAAACGTATATCTACAAAGATTTCAGAAGATAAAAATTAAAGTTTAAAATAACGATGGCAACATATTGTGTTATTTCAAAAAGTATCAATAACACAATTCAAAGTCTGATATAATTAAACCTAAAGAACACCCTTTGTTAAATAAAAAAGACACATGCAGGAGAAGTTTGCCCAGCATGCTTACGAAATGGAGTTGTCAAGTGAATTAATATATATACATATAGCTCTCAGAAAACAAACTTACTGCGATGAAACTTGTACTGTAATCGAGCTATCCTTCTGACTAACAATAGACGGCATTATAACTTTAGAAATAAAGCACACTGTGGGTGAGTTAATGTATTGAGGAACATGCCAATAAAAAAATAAAATATTAACAATTAGCTGATCTTAAGGTCATTCCTCTATCCGTCTTTTTAAGCTTGAAGTTAAAAAAAAACAAATCATACGTAAATGAACTAGACCTGTTTGACACAGATCGGTCATTTTCCAAGCTAATTTACATTCTATGCATTTATATTTCGTAAAATATGAATGGAAATAGACTGTCAATGTTTGGAAACGTTTCGACTGGAAAAATATCTTTAATAGACCATATGATACATGACCTGTTACGCAATCGTCTTAACTCTATAATTCTATTCAAAAAATTTTTGTAAATTTCATTTATACATATTGATTTAAATATTGTTTTAATGCTATGAATTTGCACATTTAAATTCTGGTCAAATTGTTCCGCTAAGTTAATTAGAACTTGGACGACATAAGATCCGGCAACATTATGTTCACATCTATGATCTGCTGACCTGACATATTACATTATCTTTTATATTATATTTTATATTATATAATCTTTTATTGAATAGTATTTTTTACAAATTTTTTGTCAAATTTTGATAATGCATATTATTTGATATATTTATTTAAAGCTGTGAAAAAAGGCATTATGAATCTGTTTGAATTTCTCCGCTAAGTTAATTAGATCTGAATCAAGAGTCCATATATATATGAAAATCCCCTAAAAATCAATATTGCACATTTCGTCAAACTCTAGGTTGACAACTAAAACAAAGACATTGCTAGAAACCTTATGACAAGTACATTATAATAACATCAAATTTAATGGTGAAAAAGTTTATGTTATTTAATCCACCAAAGATACGAAAAATATGCAAATTATAGATTCTCAGAGTCTATAAATCAAAAAGTCTTGTACGAAAATCAAATCAGGATCACAAATGACAATCTAGTTAAAGGAGATGCTGAAGTACAAAGATGGTATTATGGAAGCTCGTGGTCAAAAGTTATTACTACTTGGAATGTGGCCTGGTAGAAAAGATTGACAGGAAATTATTGCAAAATCTAAATATTTGAGGATCTAGGTATATTTCTTACATTTTAAAATAAGTTTGAAAACAATCGGATTAAAATGAAGTCTGCAGTAAATTTTTTAAATTTTAAGCTTAATTCAAAATGGCAGCTAAATGGTTTCGAATTTGCAAATAGGACAAAGGCACATAATGAAGATATTGATGGCACAAATTTTGTTGAATTACAAATTTGCAAGTTTTTTTTCGAAAATTTTTTAAAAATGATTTTGTATATTCATAATTGATAATTTGGTCTCTACCCATCTACCAAGTAAAATTAAAGAATTTTGACTAAAATTCAGCACAAAAAGGAAGTGACAAAATTTTCGAATCAGGATTTTCTGAAACTACAGTCTGCTTGGAAGTTCTTTCAAGAATACACACAAACTGTTTGATGCAAATCGAACAAAAAATAAGCATTTAATGGCGGATTTCTGAATTTAATGTGTTTTCGGATACACCATTTCCGGTTGGAAAATGTTTTAACTATAACAGTTTTCCTTTTAACCCTTTGTACAATAATTATCTTGTCTAATTAAAATGGATTTTATTTTAATTTTTTCGATAAATTTTGATTATGAATAATGATTCATATATTGTTTTAAAACTGTGAATTTTTACATTATATTTCTGTTTTAAAAGTTTCGCTAGATGCGCTAGAATTCAAACAAGACTTTAAATAAATATTAAAATGACATATTTCAAACCTGATTATTTCAAGAAGTAAATGTCCGAAAACTTACTTTAACATATATTTCAAGGCTTGTGGCGAGCACATTACACGGACACCATCCCGATTGTTGTGAAAGCACAAGTTCTAGTGATATAATCCCCTGAACATACGAAATTTAAGAAAATTGTTCAATTTCAGCCTTGATCTTCAAAGCTTATCACAAAAAACTTTGAATGAAGGTTGTTCAAAGAAAAATTCAAAATTCAAAAAAGGGCTTCTAGAAGACTTAGATATTTTTAGAAATTACAATTTAAAAAAGTTTGAAAAAAAATCGGATTAAAAATGGCGGACAAGTATATTTTGCTTTTTTAAGATGGTGGCTTAACGGTTAGGAATTTACATATACGGCAAAGGTACAAAACGAAGATATTGATGGTGCAAATTCTGTGGAACAAATAATCCGAAAAATCCGTTTTTCGTGATTTTCGACATTTTATGGTAATTTTCGAATGTTTCGGGCAAATTTCGAATTATTTTTTTTGAGAATCTTAATTGATGATTTGTGTTCTACCCACCTATCAATTTTTGTGAAATTCGAATAAAACTGAAAGAAGTTGACCAAAAATCGGTACAAAAAGTTATCGACAAAATTTTCGAATTTAAAATTTCTGAAAAATTTCAGTCTGCTTAGAAGTTCTTTCAAGATGGCACACAAAACAAATTACGACAAACACATATTAAACAATTTATGGCCGTTTTTCAAAATTAAGGAGTTTTCCGCTACACCGCATCCGGTCGCAATCCGATGTCTGGAAATATATTTAAAAGGCAATTCCGCGGTTTTTAATGTCTGACCAAATGCCAAAAATGTTTTTAGTATTACAGTTTTTGGTGGATACAAAATATCTAAAAAATTAATGGAAACAATACAGTTTCGAGCTCAACTCGAAAGCTGTAAAAATCATATTATTGATAGTTTGTATACATACCATATTTCTCAATTTTAAAAGTCTGTTGTGTATTCACCCTTTCCTGTGAATTTATACAAATGAAATTATGAAAAGAAATCAAGACAATGGTGGAGAATAATAATAAGAGATGTTCAATGAAGTAGGTATGTAAATCAAGTTCAATGGCTAAAATAGGAGGGGGTATGTAAATCAAGATCAATGGCTAAAATAGGAAGTTGGCTAATGTTAGAAAGTTATCAAGAAATATATCTGTTGATTTTTAAAAGTTTTTTTATACCTCTACTGACACTTTTATTTTCCATGATCCAAATATTGATTTCTTCGGCAGCTTTAAATTCCTTTCAACTACGCAATAGTCATCTCCATTAGAAGTGTAAAACTGAATTTTGTTTCCTTTGGGGTCCTTGAAAATAAAATCAAACAGTTAGAATGAGGAAGACAAAATATGTAAAAAGGGTTCAATGCAATTATTCATGGAAGACATTCTCATGCATGATTAATATTATTGGTACGAAATATCGTTCGAGATTCACTATTAAAAAAATCATCTCAAAACCACTCACTCATTTTGCATACAGTTATATAAAATTGTAAACTCTGTAGCATCCAAAACTATTCATTCGTTCATATGATCAATATCCAATAGTACACCAATTTTTGTCAAAACTGAAAATCTGTGAAGGGACTTAGTGGGCTATAAAGGACTATAAAACCGTCAATGTTGCAAGCTAAGATTTCTGAAGATTTTTGCATCCAGGTAACGGGAACTCAGATTGACTTTGCAACTGGCAGAACCTAAAAGAAACTGGATCTTTAACGTCTGCTTAAATATAAGCGTAGTTATTTTTTTTTTTCAGATTTCACTAAAGTGAGTCTTTGTCTTTTTGTCCAAATCGTTGTGGCGTGGTTATGATTGAGTGAAATAGATTTAAAAGACCAATTACCATAGACAATAATACAGTCTGTGTGTACCAGTCACTAGCATTCGCAGAACACGTCCAAATCATATAACTTTACATATGAATCTGACTAATGGCATCAATCGGAAGATTAGAATATATACTAACCGTGACAGTAATGGTATAGTTAGAACATACCACTTGTAAATCCGAGCGAACACCAAATACCCGATATTTTACTACAATAAAGACCATATAAACTTATCATTTGAATTGAATAGAATTGAAATAACACTGTATCTGTATTTTGTAAGTGGACATTTCTTAAAAATTGCTAAACAAAAGGAATGTCCGATTATTCATACTATGATACCCCAACCAGTTGATTATCAATTTATTCCAATAATACTCACACAAGCATTACAAAATTGTCAGTTGGTTCAAGTCTGTATTGAATGTATACATTATATCAAAGAGACAGAATGCATAAGTTTCATTATCAAAAATGTCGTAAATTACACCTGAAAATATTTCTAATTTTATTTACATCTTTGTATCTACTTGATCAAACGGAAACTTAAAAAAAGGGTTAATTAAAGAAAGCTTGCTAGGCAAGTTAACATCACCCACTAGCAGCTGGCAGAACTGATAACAAAGTCTTTAGTAACTAGAGTACAAATTTTATAATGTGTTTGTAGTTCAAAAATTATTAATATCTCATCAATTTATTGTCAGTAATGTACGCTAACTTTTTCAACAAAATCAAATTCAAAACTGAAAAAGGTCTCATCAAGATATAAATTTGTTTCTAATCGTATCATTGATGTCTCTATCATATTTCAAACCAAAATTGTCATTTCAAAGTTTATCAGATAAAACTATAGCATCTATCGCGTCTATAAGCCGAATTTGACTCATTTTTACTAAGTCAAGGGCAACCAAGTTTCATCAAGATCAGATAAAAAAAAACTTATCGTGTTCACAACCCATAATTAAAGCGTTTTTACTTATTCAAGGGCAATAACTCCAAATTATTGATCCGATTACAATCAAATTCGAATTCTAATCGTTTCCTTTTTTGACTCAATTGAATCTTGACCAACGGATCATGAAGGCGGGGCGAATCTGACGTTCAACATTTTCCTCTAGGGCCGTTTCTCCAGTGAATGTTTTGGCCCCGATACTACCCGAAGAAAGTCGAGAACTTGCAACCACTATCGAGCACTACCTTATACCTTCGGGGGAAGATCTCCTTACTCCAGTAGAGAAAAAAATTTTGGCTACTGCTTTTTAACATGTTGAAAATCAGTAACCGATCAGTCTGTTGGTAGCACCAAAAAAATCGCATAGAAATGATTTTTTTTTCCTGAAAGGACTATGCCTAGAAAACTTCTAAAAGAAATCTCTGGTCCTAGAGCTAGAGCTTTTTTACTACCATTTTAATTTTGGAACCTGGACCTTAGTGAAAATCTGCAATATCGCATATTTTTGTCCATATTTCTTCAGTTTAAATCTTTAACATCTTAAATAGGTTAATGGTCGAGTGGCGTTCAATAACTTCAAGATTTCCGTATCTAGGACTGTTAGATACGTTTCGAACGACACGAGTGAAGTTATTCAACGTCTTGAGACCTTTAACCTACTTACAATACACTCAGTCACGTGTTATTTCAAATGATATAAAAACAATTTAATTAAAGCGTTTTAGTGTCAATTATTATGCGTTAGAATAATTTTAGATATTTATTAGCCAAAAAAACTGGCTTGGAATTTGAACATGTGATTGATTTGTGAACATGCGCAAAGTTAGAGAGCCGGTAGACACGAAACATATTTTAAATAAAGGCTCAGGTTCCAAAATCAAAATGACTGTAAAAAAAAGTTTGGCTTATAACTAGAACCAGAGACTTTTTTCTGAATTTGTCTACTTAGTAGTCAAAGTTTATTTCAATGCGAATTTTTTCCACAGCAAACGCAATATGTTAGTTCAACCAGTAACCTATTGTTCATCATGTCCAAACCACGCCCTATTCATCATACTAACTCGAGGCAAAGGTAATACAAGTGAGAAAATTACGTATTCATAGCTAAATATTGTCCAATCAAAATTGCCCCTCTGCTGTCTTGGTAGCAAAATTTCAGCCAACCAAACCGAATCACTCGTTATGACGCTATGTTTGCGAATGTAAACAAAAGGAATGTTGCTTGTCATGAAATATTTTGATTAATATGTACGGTACAGAATTGAGTAAGATTTTCGATCAAGAATTGAAGCTGAGAGAAAATCAAACCTTACTTTGGAATATTTACTTGGAAAGGGTGTATTCATATCTCTTCAAATGGGCGTCGGCAAAGAGACGTTGAGTTTTGTTTACATGACCTCATTTCCGTCCTACCGATCTGATTGGTCAGATTCAAATAGCACCAATCACATTTCCACGCCAACAAAACGAAGTATAGTGGGCTTAGTTTAATACGGGTTAATAAGACCATGTCAAATCCTGTATTCGTGATGCGACTGAAACAACATACGCCTACATTCGGACACTCCTGCACGATGAACGCGATGTTATTCATCGGGTATACTCTTTTCCAAATCGGATTGGAAAAATGTAGCCGATCACTTTTTCGGTACCGGATGACTGATATTCAGATATGTCAGATATTTCCCCAAAGGTATAAGGTAGTGCTCGATAGTGCAGTCGGCCGATCAAAAAATGATTGGGTACTTCCGGGACCAAAATAATGCTAGGTGAAATGTCGGTATAAAGGAGGTAATACCTGTTTGCCCTGGCTTGTACACCTTTTTGTCAGTTTGTATGATGATTTTAAAATCTCTATTTCTGTTAAAATTCAAATATTGACGACCATTAAACGTAGTTTCACCAGTACCCGTCAGAATAAGATAGATGCTCCAAGAAGTTAAATTACATGGAACCTAGTTAGATAATATAAAATGAAATACACGTACAGTCTAATTTGGATCTTATTGTATTTCGTTACAAATTGTGGTAAGGCTTGCCGACGTAAAGAATCGTTAAATATCTTGCTGGTTAAAACAACCTTCAAAGCAGATGGAAATCGGAAAAATGTGGGCAATCTTTCGGAATATAATGGTCGTTTTATTTTATTCTGTTTCAAGTATATGACGGCCCTACATACCAACTACAAAATTACAGAACTACAAAAAGAACATACCGGTAACGTAATGAGTTTTGTATCACCAGGTACTGAAATATATTTTAAATTTATTTACTGGTGTATAAAATGATGGTACAGATTAATGTTGGTATAGAATGGTCGTACAGATTGATGTTTTTGCACCCCTTTAGTATGCATTACTAAATACCAAATACTTACATATTTCAGTGGTAATTGAAGAAATTGTATTCCCACTATAGGAACGTTGAAGTTCAGCCTTCAATGTGTAGGAATGGTTGCCATAGGCTTTGGCACTAAATGAATACGGAACACATGCGTGGATTGACCTTGGTGATAAAATCATGTACCTCGCATCTTGAGACCTAAAAAGACGCATTTTTTTATGAACGGAACGATTGAAATCGTAGATTAATTGCGATGATCCTATCAGATCATGAAGTGAATCGTGGATATCGTTTTCATCATGGTTTTTAATTCAATCAATCGTGCAGCGAATCGTGCTAGTCGGATTATAGCATAATATAACTTACAAACAGCCACTGTAAACAACCAGCAAGATGGTTAATACTGATATATAATTGACATCCATTATGTAAATAAATTAACATTTGAACAGAATTCTTTTATGTTATAAGCTTGCTGTATCGCAAGCTACTATAAAAAAGATGATTGACTAAATATACAGCCATGGTTTTAGAAAAAGAGAATAATGATAAAATTATCATAACTTTAAGAAATTCTCAACTTTGTGTGAATACGTTTTTAACTGATTTGTTATTAATTTAGTTATGTCAATGGTTATGCTTTCGACAACATTTAGTTTTCTTACGAGTCAATTCGGATCGCCATCGTAGTTAACCGCAAGCATTCATAAATAACTCGCTGGTATCCGTAAATAACTGACTGACGATAATTTGCAGATACTCTAAGGGTCCATGAAAGAAGGGGCGACTGTTTAGACAAAATGTTCTTACGATTTCCCATGATTTATGTTTTTCCGTAAATAACAATCCGTAAGTATCGCACAGTAATTTACGAATAGATACGTGATCCCTTGTATAATTTTTATTTAAAAAAAGAAATAAAAGCTATAAAATCGTTCGAACTGTACAGCTTGTATGATTCTTGCGGGTGACTACGAGTTTGCGATCCGTAAGGACTAGGAAGAAAAATCGTGTATTTGAATATGCCATGATCAGTAAATATTTTGTGAGTAGGCTACACTTAATATACTCTCCCGACTAGACAATTAAATTGAGAAAAGCTTACCTGTTGGTACAAGATGGAGTCATCTGTTTTAGATGTTATTCCAGCATTTTATAAGAATAAACAACAATACATCTGTCATTGTTGTCAATTATACTTCATTTATTCAGAAATGTACATGGAAAATAAAAATGAAATTATGTAAGAAATCAGCTATCGAAGTGGCCTTCACACATTTAAACTATTAATGATTTATCATAAAGTTCAATATCCGTGTAAAATTGCGATCTTGTACCACATGATCTAGAAATTTATTTGACCATTTTAGTCTGATCAAATTGATCTGGAAACTGTTTTTGTTGGTGTGAAACATTCACGTGGTGCTCCAACCTTTTTCTTATGTTTTGGTCTCAATAAACTGTTTACAGTTACAGCTTTACCAAAGACCAGTAAAGACCAAATAAAATCTTAAAAAAAACAATCATTGTTGATTACTGAACTGATTGAAGTTTGCATACATTTTAATACCTTCAGTTTTAGAGTTGGTCTGCCACTGCTCGTTGAGATTTTTTTTATACCAAATTGTGAGATCTTTCCTCATCTGTGTTTGTGTTTAGTATGCACTGGTCTTTAATTACGATTTTATTTTTGGAAATTTGGAAGGTTTACGTGTATATTTATTTTTTCTGTCAAGTGTCTGTGTAGAGCAAGTGATAAATTAGGTTGTCACTGAATAATAGACCCGGAAAAAAAACCATTATGACAAATAAAGCAGACCAATGTGGCATGTTGTCAATATTTATTTATATATAGACTTGAAATGTGCTTTGCAGGTCAATAAGAAAGCTGAAGGTGGGTGGGTACTAAAGCGATCTAAGCGCCTAAATAAACATGATTAGCAATAACAAACACATGCATCAACAAGAAAAACAACGACAAGAAAAAGGCGTTCGGAACGATAATACAGCATTATCATCAATATGCAAGTCTAAGGTGTTTTTATGGGCCGATTCGATTTGATACATGCTATTTTGAGCATTTGTGAGAAGCCATATTGCCTAATCGCCATATCAAATTTCACATTTGTAGACCACTGAGAACTAATCTAATCGAAATTGCACCAAACTGTATTAGCAAATCGAAACCAAGTCAAATTGGTCGACAAAAACGCCTCTAGATGAATCGTTTCTTTTTCACCGGATTTTTCCACTTGTCATCTATTATCTGGTGAAATTTTTATACATCTCATTCTCTGAGTAATATTACTTTAAAGATGGGTTTCCTTTTATTTTAGTGTCAAATCAAGCAAATTATTATAGTGTTTCTCATGTATTCTTAATCATATCTTTATGTTCTTATTGCATATATCTAAGAGTCTTAACCAATCATATATGACTTTGACATGATCTTATTAACCCGTATTAAACTAAGCCCACTACACGTTTTGGGGGCGTGGAAATGTGATTGGTGGCATTTAAATCTGACCAATCAGATCGGTAGAACAGAAATGAGATCATGTAAACAAAACACAACATTGCTTTGTCGCCTCCCGTTTGAAGAGATAAAAACATTTGATTTTCTCTCGGCTTTTATTCTTTAACGAAAATCTTACTCAATTCTGTACCGTAGATATTCATCAAAATATTTAATGGCACGCTGCTTTGTTTTGATTGGCTGAAACTTGCTACCAATATAGTAGGGCCAATTTTGATTGGACAATATTTATTATCTATGAATACGTAATTTTTCTCACTTGTGTGAAGAATAACGAACGGGGGTGTGGTTTGGACACGATGATATGTCCATGTATAAACAGTCAGGATAAACGAAAAAATACTTTTTGACCTTTCTTGATCCGTCACTCATTGGAATTCTGCTGGTAATTCTCTTCTAATTTATGAAATTATGAATGAATTGTTACATGTAAGACAAACTTGTATTTACTTGTCATTGGAACACCTCTATTTTCTATTCATATAAATAAAAATAAGCGAACCCATCTTTAAAACATGGGTAAGGTTGGTAAGGTTCTCTTGTCCGATTTTTTCTTATAAACGTGAGAGAGTGTGGGATATTCATTGTTAAAGCACTGCTCAATTGTTTTTTCACAGTTGAGCTGAAATTGTTAGGCACTGCCAACTTTACAGTAACAATACTTCACTATTTTGCAATTTTGCTATAAACTTGCATGTTTTTCAATTAGTTAAGTTCTAGAATTGGATATCATCTTGATATGGTACTCGGCTTAGTCGCACTTTATTATCATTCATTCAAGTGCTGCATTTTCTTAACCATTTTCATGTTTAATTCATTGAATTTTTTAAATTTGTATTATATGATTATTTTACATAATTCCACTTTTCTTCTTCGAATTTCCGCGTTAATTAGTTCATATTTTATTGACAAATATATTCAAAGATATACCTTATGAAAATGTTTGGGGAACAAGCTTTGCCTATATTAAACGGCAGGGCCAAATGGCGGTACAAAATACGGTGAATACAGTAATCAGTGAAGATCAAAAACGTTCTTTTAAATACTGTAAACTCAACGCGAGTTCAACCCATAAAACAACACACCTTTACAAAATTATGAAAAATATTTAAATACGCAAATACAAAATAAGGTTATTAAATAATTTGAGAATGAAAATAAATATTTGGTATCTCCTGCATTGTCATGGTATCGTTCATATATGAAATGAGCATATCCAGTTGCATCAGCACGAGTAGCTAAGGCTGCTATTTTCCCATTGACAGTTATCCATATTTCTATTTCTTCTCCAGGAGAACCATCAATTTCCATTTTTAACTGAGTGGCTTGTTTCGTGATCTGTCGAACACGTTGATGTGGCATATGAATCCATTTATCTGTTTCTCCCAGGATCACTACTTCTTGTCCACTAAAAATATAGCATTTGAAATTGTGTAGATTTCTTGTGATAGGTAACTGTGAACCATTGAAATGACGAAAAGGCAAGACCATATTAATTTAGGATCAACATGTATGACACTAACAAGTACATCAACATCCTTGTCTCGCAATACTCCTTCAAAAAATATGGAAACTTAATCCCATTTGCATTATGGCGTGTATTTCTCATCAAGCATACTTATGTAAAATACTTACTCAAATTCTATGACTGGTGCAGTGAAATATAAACAGAAATTGTCCAAGGTACAATTAGTTAATGTAAATTTAGAACCAATGTTAAAATCATATTGTTCATATGGTGCGTTCCATCTATATATTTTACTCTTTGGAAACTGAAAATATACATTATGTATTTTGTAAATTGTATATACGATATCCCGGGACACATTCCGTCACTCTTTAGTACTAAATAACATTTTCTTTGAAGTCCCAACGATTATACACTGTACATGTATTTATGTATGATTCCAGTTTGTTCTCTCGTCTCTACCCACAATAAAAATAGATTTCTCTGGTAGAATTCAAACTTACGTCATAATCTAGATGGGTATTTTTAGGTGTTATATCGAACGGTTTGGTCTGTCCAGCGGCAAAGACAACACCATATTTAGCATTTTCGAATCCTACTGATGAAATCTGAGTGAAGGTCGACCACACTTCACCATCTGGACCGCTACCATCTTGAAATGCTGTCTGAAATAGAAGGCGATTTATAGGAGACTGCAATAAAGATCTGACGCTTAATTGTATACTGTGTCGGACAATATGTTTTAAGGTAACCGATTGTCCATACCTGCATGATTTGGGCGTCTATGGCTTTAGCTGGATGTTGAGCTCGTAATATTCGACCATCTTTCCCACAACATTTTGATAACACTGTCTTGTTTACCATACCTAATCCATCCCCATTACCAACTGGTCCACGTGATAAAACAGATACAACTAGTTCAAGTTCCGGATGTGGTTCTTCAAAATCTGCAACAGAGAATAAATAGATCTTGGACAACATACACAAGAAAACCTACTTATATTTAATTGAAGCAGAGATATCTGCTTTGACATTGCAATTCACCAATTTAGCTACACTAATCGAATAAAATTGAATTTTAGATTTAGATACATATGAACGTTGCCTCTATATAATTATATAAGACTGAAATGTAGCTTATTTGAATATCAAAATGAATGATGTATTTACCACTCGACTTTTTAATAGTTCTAAAGGAATCTTTATTAGGAGCAAGATTCAAGGCATCAGCGAATATGGACGAGATTCCGATTTTCCATTGATCTTTATTTTTTCCATAATCTGGACTAACTCTTGTCTGAAAATTATAATACTCGGTTTATAGGCCTATGAACACTCACTATGATAAGTATTTTGTATTTGTGTTTTGTTTCATCGAGTTACGTTTTACTTATTCTTCTGGCACAACTGACGATACTCAGTGTTTGTCATCTCAATCTAATAAAAATTAGATTACAATTTCGCTTCGGTATTATTTTTGTCCACCTCTATATTAATCTTAACAGATTTATACCAAGGTTGTAAATCTCGTTAGATTACAATGGAGACCGACAAATAAAAATAATAACGAAACGAAATTGTAATCTTATAATAAGATTGTTGTCACCTCGACGGCGGTTCCACATAACTAATTTTATTTATTTAGCATATTTGCGACATATCAATAGGCCGATCTCTGCTGGTGGACTGTTCGATGTCAAATCGGTATCCCTTTCGGATAGTCTACATAAAAAAATGTGTTAATTGGGTTCTATTAATCTATTACATAAAATGCCATAGATAATATGGACATACCTGTGTAACTGCTGGATTTACTATAGATTGTAATAAATGTCTAGGATAACCATCAGAATATAAAATACTAATATTATATCTTGCTGCGGCACTACCCATTTCATTCAACCAACGACTAGCCAGATTGAGATCTGTTTTAGTAGCATTTAAATTCATTAACGTTTCATCCAAACCATCCTTATAAAGAAATTACAACTGGTTACATGTCATATTGTAGTATATAGTGCTAACAAGGCGAAAATTCAGTGATTGAAAGGAAGTACAGGAAACAATACGATAATTTTCATTTGCTGTGGGTCTGATGTTCGACTTGCATAGTAGTTGAAAGAATTTCTTTGACATCAGCCATATTTCTGTTGCATACCTACCTGATCGTATGTGACTAAACCCCACTCAGCTGCATTGGAGAATAAATCGTCCCAAAACATCTGGAATAAAAAGTAATTCAATTCATGTAATTTCACCTAAGATAAAATAATGCTTGAATAATTAAAAAAAATAAAATGTGTTAATACTGCGCAATGAGTGGAGACTTGCTCTGAACGATGAGACGTTTTTTTTTATTGACATAAAGATTTGATTTGAAAAAAAGGAAGTATAGCAGTCGACTTACAGGATCATCTGGTACAGCTGTATCACCTTCAATAATAAAATTATACTTTCCTCCATTTTGTTTTGCATACACATTATCACTGGACCTGCAAAAAAAAATGACCAAAAGCACTATAACACTATATTACTAAAGAACGGTATAACGTTTAAACACATCTATACCCAACTACAGTCCACAGCTAAGCACTGCCTGATAGATTATCACATGATAACAAACCACGTCATCGCCGTCACTAACAGAACCATCAGAAACAGACCATACACTTAATGAATTAACAGAATGTATTTACAGTATGTATGGTGTATAATACTTACCACACTCCACTGTACATCAAAAATTTACTTTGAGTTTTATTTTCAAGTGATCTGAAAGAAACAATAGAAAAAAACGACAATGATGGTATTGTTGTCCTATAGTTGAGCTGATGCCTGGTATAGGAAAGAAAATAGTAAATACTTCACATACACACGGTATTAGTTTGGTCGAAACAAAGAAAAATGTATTGAACTAAGAGATAGATTATCGAGTTCCCACATTATTTATTTTGCTAATAGCAATAGCAGTAGTGATTGCGCTTGTGTAGAATAATTTTACACAGGTGGGGTTTGTCACTATACCCAATCAAGTCGAATAATGTCGTACATTACACATGATCAAGTATAAGTAACGCATGTACATATCCTATACATGGATATAGATTGAGTACTATCTATACGATAATTACAATAATGTAGGTAGAAATCATTTTTTAAGATACTTACGACATTCCATCAGGCAGTGTTGTAGGGTCGCCTGCCCATTGTTTAACTTTATTACCAGTTTTTATACACCACCAATTATCAATTTGAAAATATCTACAAAATAATCAATTATTTCATTCGTTTTGAATTTGGCCCTGATCATGAATTTTACATTGATTGTCATTGAGGCTTTGAAGTATGTTTCTATTTCTTTCTTTACTATCAAAAGGTTGAACAATTTTCTACATACGTATATGGTAATTTAGTTTTGGTGATAGCTTCATTCTGTATAGATAATATTGTACTTTCATAGTTCTGACCAGTAATCGGTGCCTTATTATAAAATGTACCATCATCTGTCCAATACCCCAGATATCTTGTAGTTATGTCTTTATCTGGAGTAACTTCAGCTTGTTTGGTATTGTTGTAATACAGCTGTATTATTAAACCCCATGATGCTATTGCCTTTAATAGCAGATATTTGATTTAAAAGATCAACGACTACGAAATCATTTTAGTATATCTTCAATTCATTTTCAAAAGTATTAATAATGGTGCACTAAAGGGGCTCTCACCGGTTGTATATGGTTTCGAATAAGAATAGCAGTTGAACGCAAATCTCAAGCAACTTTCATTGTTCTCAACCATACGCAACTGTAAATCGTTATAGTTTTTAGAAGAGGCGAGATATCATAGGTTTCATCCACACCTAGTAATTTTTTAGCTGAAAGTGCGATACTTACCATATTGATTCCTGTATTGTAGTTCATCATAACCTGATATTTAAAATTGGCAGGAACTTGATCCACGCCACCCATAATTCCCCAATACACGAAATTATTGACATCATCTTTCCAAGTTGAAATTGACATGAAGTTATCTAAAGGTGTGGTTAAAAGTGTATTTCCATCTTTATCAAATACAGCTAAAGGGCCAGATCCTTCAAGTCCACCTGGAATTTTAGCATCATTGTTCCACCTGAAATAATGATAAATTGGGGCTCATCCACGACACTTTATCATGTTCATTATACCAGTAAATAAATAATGTGATTAGGATCGATTAGAATTGCAAATGACAATCCAGCTTTTGTAGCTGATCTGGAAGGTTATGTCCTAACACATGAGAACAAATCATACACACCTGCCAATTGTTTTATCAGTATCGCCGGAATAATGTCCTCCATATGCTAGAAACCCAAGATCATCTCGTGCACCTTGTAATTTAAAACCAGGAAAACCACAGATTATTTGATTAACATCAGGAGCAGCAGTAGAATCAGCAGCTTCGATATATTTCTGAAATATAAAATTTTGTTGTTATTATCTGATCTTGCGTATGTATTATACAGAGAGTTAATAAGAATCGATGAAAAAGCACAGAACAAAATGGATTTAATGATAACACACACCATAAAGCTTATGTTGGTACTGTGATGTTATTGTTATGTTGGCGATGATAATGCAAGTGAATAATCATCATGTAAATGCTTATATTATGATGAAGTTCAAGAATGTTATCTTACGTTTGTTGAAATATTTGTTTGTGGATATATATCAAGTCGCACACTTTAATAATTTTCTTTCTACAAAAACTCCAAGATTCCTTACCACAGAAAATGTGACGATTCCATAAGGATAGTTTTTGACGCTGGCAATAACACTCATTTTGTCGGCTAAATAATGAATATCTCGAGCTTCCCAAACACCAAAATTATCAGTATTTCCGGTACTGTTCGTAATTCCTATGAATTTCAATGATCCATCTAATGCTGAGTATTTGGTACCGTTGATGATGAAGAACGGAGGTGCACTGTTCAACCATATTTTAGACACATATGATACCACAAAGCTTCCATCGTTGGAGACATCAGCTTTCAGACCAAAGTAGGCTTCACTTAAATCTGTAAATATATATCCATTCTTTCTAATTAACAAATATGCTACAGTAGTAGGTTATAGGTCACATCTTCCTTCATCCAACTAAGTATCCTTAGCACTGAACGACAACCTTTAAGGTAGTTTTAGCTGAAATAGTTTGCCGTCTTTGAACTGAATTTCTCGCATCATCATTGTTGTTGAATTGCATTATTATGTTCACACTACTTTAGTAACTTATTTGACCTAGTAACAAATAGCAAATAAGTTAGAAACTTTAATTTATGTGGCCGAAAATACAACAAATAATAATATGTACAATATAAAAATTATTTGAGCAAACTCTAACAATAAATGGATTAATAAATAAAATATAGAAATTGTATTCAAAACAGGCCCGTAGCCAAAGGGGAAGGGGGGCCCCCCTAGAAAAATGCACCGGTCACTTTTTTTAAATACACCTTTTCTTTTTCCTGAGTCAATAGGAGAGGCAGGTAACTGAGTCTGAGTGAATAGCAAACAGTGGTCATTCTGGTCCGGCATTTTATGGTGGAGTAATTGCATCAGTCAGCTGCTATATTTTGATTACAAGTAACGAAAAATAAGGTTATGGCTTTCAGGGCTGCGTTATGCGAAATGGTTCAACAAAATACTAAGTATTCCTATCTGTAGGCCTAGAACTGTTTTTAAATATCTTTCTGTTTATTCTTAGCTGAGGATGAAAGCAGACATCATAGCTTTTTTAAATTTAATTACATTCGAATAGATAATTTGATACAATTGAATTCGTTGAAAATCATAAAAAGTCTGCAGTAAAGCGTCATTGGTAACAAAAACTATTGGTCTGATACTGGATTGTAATCTGTCCCGTCTCAAAATTCAAAAGATTTGATTGGTTAATTATAAATACTAACTAGTAGACATATATTATCCTAAATTGTATTCATAAGAATCAAACAACCAAACGTAGGAAAATGGATAAATATTTGATCAAAAAAGACAAATTGCTTGATGGTTCCGACACTACTACGACTGACACTGGTATCAAAACCACAGCGGGCAACACAACGGATGCAGTACCAAGATGCTCTGAAAAGACAGGAGTACCAGGTGACATTGGAAAAGAAGACGTTCCAAAGCAACCGAGAATAAAATTTCCAGCGAAGTCTGGGCGCCATTTTAGTGACAGCTGGTATGATCGATTTCCATGGCTGGAGTATTCACAATACATCTGCGGGTGCATAAAAATTCATCACTGAAGGCTACACAGATTGGAAGCATGCTGTAGGTGATACTGGAAAGGGCCTCGAGAAGCATAATAATTGAGGTGTCAAAACAATTTCTCCAAGATAACGTTGCCAAGACAGAAAGCAGGACTCCAATCGTGTTCTTCAAAAACTATACGAGCAGAAAAGTGCTTATATGCACTGGCTGCAACGACGATCTATGACTCAGCTTCGCCAGCGCAATCTTGTTCTTCTTGCCTTCAACAGGAAGACCCAGAAAATTAACTTGGACGTATTTGTTCAACGCTTTGCCATAAAACATACCTGACTACGTTTAAACTAAAACGGCAATAAAAATGTAACCTATTATAACTTGTGTGTTTTAACAAAAATAATCTCGAATCTAAAATTCCCCCAGGAGTACTGGTCAGGCTACGGGCCTGATTCAAAACATAAAAATCCGCCTACATGAGATTTCAAACTCTGAAATAAAGGGGAAGAGGTGAGTGGGCAAAAGTAGAGTTGACTGTACAAATTTAACTAAACAAATGATCAAATACCCAGACAGAAGAAAACTATTTACAAGTGATCACCAAGTTGTAAGAGAATAAATTTGCCAGAGAACTGAATCTGAGTAAAATCATAAAGAATTATGATTAATCTTGAATTAAACTGAACAAAATAATAGTGAATTGTAATTAAACATGAATTAAACTATCAATGAAAGATTGTTAAGTATGAGGACTGATAATTTATTATTTTTATATTGTCCTCTCCCGTGTCAGTCAGTCGGTCCGTCCATAATTGGCTTGTGAACACAATGGAGGCTTCAATTTTTATCTGATTTCAATGACATTTGGTGTGACTATCTATTTCAATGAGATCTTAGTTAGGTTTGAATTTGACGATTTTTCAATGGATGGAATATGAGTTATTGCTCTTGACATAGTAAAAATGCATCAAAATTTGTCGGCAGTTTATGTCCACATATCAGTTCAAAGCACACTGGTATACATCGAAGATTGTGCATGCACAAATTATTAGACGTATAACTACGTTTTCATACTTATCTCTTACGCGGAACGTAAATTGCTTTAACCTTTCTAACTTACAGCTACCGTATAATGGCGTGTAGTGCAGCGTTTGTGGGTATAAAATAAATACCAGGTGCCAATCCGCCATTATATGTTAACTGTGAAGGAATATACGTTAAGTAAATTGTATGGTCGTTCAGAACACGTCAAGTACATGGAAATATATGTTCAAAGCACTTTACCAACAGGTTAGAAATAAGTTCTGTGTTTGATAGCATATGTCGAAACTTTTGTTCAAGGAAAATGTTTATTCGTTCTCCTCTTACTAAGACGTATACCAGCGTGCTTCAACGTTTTTCAGATCATACAAAATTTACTCATAATGTATTCGACGTCTATAAATTTTTCACACTTTAGGTATACGCTTGCCTTAATCGTCAATATGTGACAGGGCAATTACACTCAATTGTCACACAAACATACAAAGATGTCATTTAGATTCTCCAAGATTCTCTTAAAAAAGTGGTCCACTGGAGAAACCATTTTTGTTATTCAATTGCAATGAAATCCATGGCGCCTTTGCAAGAGTATATCAGAACAGCATTTAAAGCTTCTAGGATATTAATGATTCTTACCTGGTTGAATGAATAATACAGATAGAAAACTAATTAGAAATGTTAATTTCATTTTCCTTAATTTCTAGGATATCACATCACCATTCTTAATTGATGATAAATACAAAGGTGGACTAATCACAAGACAATCGTCAATAGATTGTTATAATTGTAATATAATAGATATGATAGCTGTTATCTTATCTCTGATATGATATTGTTATTGTCGAGTGTATTCTGTATAAATTAGCCATAATATGTAAACGCTTCGACATTAGGGTTGTATTTTGATCGAAAAGGGCCATCATAGGTGAATCAGTGCTTTCAAATTTTCATAAGGTGTACCAACTAATCAGCTGGTCACAACAATAACGGCCCCAAGTCCCCTCTCCCGCAACTGCCAAATCGTTGTTCTCACATATGGTTTTGAGTATAATCTGACATTTAAAATCTTGCATGTGTTGTTATGTTTTTAAATGAACGATTTTTGGTGGATAAGCATTTCCAGGCCATCGTGGGCAAAGGCCAACAGATCATTGGTCCAAGATTCGGATATGTCCCAAACAGACCAATATGCTAAATTCCATGATTTTCGTGTTCCCTTGACTGCTATCTCAAGGAAATGATTTTCATCTTTACAAATTTCTTTGAACATGTTGTCTGTTCCCGAGCCCCGTAGACTTTGAACAATCTTTAAAGTCAGGTTGGGTGGAGATATTTTGTTTTTTATTTTTATATAAAACCTATACAATGTAAGTTCATTCATTGACTATAGATGATTAATATATAATATAAAACAATTAATCAGTTTATTATGATCGTTTATATAATAAAACATAGGTACAAAAAACAGATTACTCAATTTACTAACAATAGCTCTGCAAAATTAAACAAAAAAAACATATAATTTGATTACTAGAAGAAGGGCTTAGTCTATATATTGTTGAACACTGGAAAAGGGTTTTGGCCAAAATTTCTGATTTTATGAAGCTGGCATGCATTCCATCTTTAATAAAGTTATCCATATACTTCGTTATGGATTATTACAATTTTCTGTCACAAGTAAAATGTGATTAAAATAAGTCTAACTGCATTTACAGTTCAACCCCAAGCCATGTTTATATTTTCTACCAGTTCACCGTTTGGTAATAATGCTTTTACTCTTTCACCCATGAAATGACTTATACCACGACTCATGTCGACGACCTTCTGAGCTAAAAATACAAGGGACCCACTGGAACCAGGACAAGTTTTACATGAATATTTTGTACAAGCAACTTCCTTACACTTACAATCTTTTTCTGGTTGAGCTATACGTCGACCCTGAATATCAAATCGTTCAAATGATTTTCCCAATAATCGTCCGAAAGTGACCATCTTGATTCCACCATGAGGATGTCCAATACAATACATAATATCAGCAATAGATTTATAGTTCTTTACCATCTCTTGAATGTGGACTACACTTTTTGGTAAGGGGTGAAAATCAAATAACCAGATGTCCGGAGAGGTATGCTGCATGTATAGTTCTAGATCAATCTTACTCATATCACTGAAAAACTCTTTAGGTTTCATTGGTTGAAAAAACAATCTAGTACCACGAGCAATAACTTCACCATCCCACAATAGTTTACATTTTTTAACTTTATCTTGGAAAATAGATTCCGATATTCTAACGACATATTCTTCTCTAAATTTTGCCATAACACCTGATATCACTTTACCTTTACCATCATCTTCATCTATATGTACTTCAATTGAAGATAGCTCCCGAATGTTAGAAGAAATCGGCTTAAATTTGAAATAACGACTTTTTAAATAGCTGACAGAATTGTCATCTAAAGTAATAAACATCATGTCGATCTGTGAATTGTTCAAATTTTCAGAAGTATAATGAACAAGTTGGTATGACTTATAGCGGGTATTTGTAATACAACTTAGAGCGCGATTATTTTTATACATTAGAACAAGGGATGGTGGGGTGTGCAACGAATGGATTACGTCCAGTCGATGTACAAAATCAGGCATAGGCTCGAATAAAAAGAATGAGACATCTCTAAAAGGGCACGTGTAGACAAGTCAATACATTTGATCTGTCGTTGGAATCATAGAAAAATTCAACAGTACATTTCTTAACTTCATCGTCATTTTTAACGACATGATTATTAGATTGTATACAATATTTATCTCCCTCTTTCACCACATATCCAGTCCCAACTTCCTTTACCCATCTTCCATTTCTTACTTTATCTACCACTAATCTGACAACATAGCTCCCCCATGTTTTAATACTCTCTAAAATTTCTCTTCTTCCATCTTTGTGTGGTAAATGTTCCACAGTTAAATCTTTAAATGGGATGAACCCTGAATGACCAGGATTCTTGTCACATTGGAACTCATCTAAATCGTTCTCTTCCCTTAATAGATCACATTCTCTCGCCACCTCAATAATCAGGTCAGATTTAAAGTCTTGTTTATCATGATGACACCGAGCCATTATTTGTTCTTACAAACCTGAAAATAATAAAATTGGAATCTAACTTTTAATCTACGGTGGTATTAGTTTATTTTTCAAGTGTGATTTAATAACAAAGAATTTTCCGTTTGAAAATCGTAACTTAAAATATCAAAATTCAGAAATCAAAAAAATGAATAGATTTGAATCGATAATAGAAAATTAAATTCATTATTTCAAAAATGTAATAATATCCAAAACGATCAACCGTAGATATGATAGGTGTCGGTGACAAAAATGAGATGAAAGTGGATTGAGTTGCGAAATTGGTAAAAACATCAGCGCACCATGTATTTCTTAAAAGCACAAAGTGACTATATCTAGTTAAAAAGCGCTATATCATCTGGAGATGAGGGTGGTATATCTTGAAGTTGAACTTACTGAAGTCTGAGTAGTTAAATTCTGTTATAATCTCTTCGTCTTTCTTTTCTTTCTTCAAGCTGTAAAATAATGTTGATTTAATGTTTCTATTTATAGTACGGTGGTTTCCAATATAGTCTCGATTATCCGGTCTCTGTAATATATAGTCGGCTAAATGACAATTTAAGGTAAAAATTTCAGTCCAGGTTGAGAAGTAAATGAAATACTTTATTATTTTATGACATAAAAGGTCGCCCAGAACATATAGGCTCTAATAAATATTAGATTACTGTTGTCGGTTGGATGATCGACTATAAAATGGTATGCTTTATCTGCATATGAATATAGAATAAATAAGATATAAATAGGTTTAAAAAAAAGCCTTTAATAAATTTTGTTTCTGGTCCTACCATAGCAGATATTCATCAAAATAAGAATCAGTGACACTGATTAAGTAGCTGTTCTCTATTTGTTTGGCGTCGCTGCTGGTCCCTGTCCCTTCCACAATCGAGATATTGAGCTGGAAATTCCGAATATGTTTTATCTACCAAAATTAAAAAGTAAAACTTACTATAATATACTTCTTTCATGACCAGGATTTTCTTATTATGTCTCTGTTTATAATTTACAGTTGAGATCTGTTGAATTGTTTTTTTCTCCTTCTTTTTAAAATGGCGGTTAGCGTTTGTCTTCGGTATGTATGGACTCACTCCACTAAAACATTTTATGCAAATGATTGTATAAATGTAGTCCAGGCTATTTTTAGAAATCTTCTTTCTCTCTCCCTTTTGGGGTTTTTGCCTGCCTATTTTTGGGTAAAAATTGGTCTAGATTTGGAATTTGATGTCTGAAATTGCATTATTTTTAAGATTTAGTGAGATAATGAGAGACTTAAAGGCGGAAGGATAATTCTAAAAATAGTCGTTTTGTGAAGTGCCAAACTCTAGCGGATGAGTATAACCGGTAGTAGTCTTCTTTCAATTTTAGTAGCTCAAAATTTTCATGGTCATCATATAATGAATTTTTTAGGAGACATTGAGAATTGGTCAGGCTTTCATTCGACATATTGGAAAGCTTTCAACGAGATTTCTGGAAAAAGTTATAGAAAGTTGAATGAATTTCGTATTTTAACATGGGAAGAGATGGCAAATGAATTAGTGGAGTGAGTCCGTATGTGGTTGATTAATCTAGTCTCGATTATCTTAGTACAGAGTTTTTGATCTCGATGAGAGCTGCTAAAGATTATACGATTATGTGTAAATTCATATGAAATTTTCAACCTAACTATTTATTTGACTCCAAGTGCTAGATTACTCTTCTATCGCGTGACCTATTGAAAACTGCATTATCAGTAGTCATTGTCTAACAATGTGGTAGTCTCCATTATCATGTAATGTGTTTTTATTTAGGTCAGATCTGAATGAACTAGTTAAATCAATATATACGTCCTGACCATTCACCCACAACAAAGTCGAATGTCAATGGAAAAAGCGCCGGTGTAAGATTAAACGTAAATGGTGGGTTGATAACACTCAAAGGGGTATTCCACTTTTTTGTAAAACAAAGTTTACATTATCAAAAGTTATACCTTAAAATATTTCTAAAATATGCTATTTATATCTATTTATCTTCTTGATCAAAGTGAAGTTGTTTTAAAAAAGTTAAAAATTAAAAACGGAGAGTACATATTGTTGATTAAGCATTAAAAAAACAATAGCTCTTCCCGTATGCACCAACTTCAATTAGGCTTAATTCAATTAAATTCTGTCCGAATATCATTAACTTTTGATTAAATTTTATATTTCGTATACACCACATTGAATCATATTAAATATATGAAGAAATGCTAAGCGTAAAAGTACTCGAGACCAATTTTTAGTTTTAATTGTATTTGTTAATCGGTGGAATTCCTTTTGTTGCTCTTAATTGTTTCAAAGTGGATGATTATTTAGACAATTATCTATATACATGTATACATACCATGTAATCCGTATGCTTTTTCTGAAATAAACCGGAAGATCGATTTATGCAATAACAAACCCTAAACGAAGTAAATCATACCACAAACCTACTATTGGCTCCCACAATTACAAAAGTGTATAAGGACAAATATTTTAATAAATTTTATTTTATTCAATTAGTAAGAAATAACTTGTAATTGTGAGACTAATTGCAATCACTGAAATTGATAATGAAATACTCGGAGTATGACTAGTTGGTTCTGGTGAAGTAACAGATGGAGTACTTCCACTTATCATAACAGCCCCTTCTCCATTTTCATCCATCTGAACAGGGTAGGTCTGTAACACTCTATTTATCAATACATCAAGTTTTATTGTCTCTTTTGGTGCTGCTCTAACACTGACAACAATAGCATCTTGTTTTGTATTTATATAACGAACCATTACATCTGACATTGGAATCCACTTAGAAGTATCACCAAGTATAATACACTCCATATCCCTAGAGAAGATTCATAAGAAGGTGATAATTCACAAGGTCAATTACAAGAGCCAAGAATATAATGGTCATACTGGGGATAATAATCTGGATGAAATACAACTGAACATTCCTTGTTTACTGACATGGAGTATTTTCATATGAATTAACGTAATTTAGTATGTAACCGTGCCATGGTGGACAGAAGGCATAATAATATGCCTATTTGATTTTGGAACATATTTTCTGCATTATACTCCGGAGAGCCTTTCGCACAACGTTGTGCATGGAGATATGAACAAGATTGAAAATGTAATGGAAAATTGAATGAATAAAACATCCTCATTTTAAAGGTGGCAAATGGTAAAGCTCTTACCCAACATCTATCGTAGGTGCCGTATGGAACAAACAGAAATTATTAGTACAATCATTCTTGTGTATTACAAATGGATCGGTATCACTAAAATTGTACACAGATGTCGGGTTATCCAGAGAATAAACAACACTTCTTGGAAACTTAAATAAATAATGTTTTCAAACGAATGTAAGTATCTTTTCGTTATTGTGATCTAAAGGTTTTATTTTTTATTAGCATATAGTTTACAGCGACAAGTTGCATGTTTTTGACGTGCTTTGTGTTTCTGGTATATTTCGTATATATCTACAGATTCAGTTGTGTTTTTATGAAACCCGAGACAAGAAATCCTCACGCAGGGTTAACTTTCTGATGCGTTTATGTAGAGTCCCAAAATTTCACACTGTACCATCTAGGATGAAGTTTTCTCGTCATTGATATGATTACCTTGTCATAACTATTTAACTGTGTTGATGTTGGTGAAGCTATGAATTCTGTTTGAAGTTGATATGCAAATATTGTACCATATCTCAGTGCATTATGTTGGATATCCTTGGTTTGTATATACGTTAACACAGACCAGACCTCACCGATAGGTCCACTGCCATCTTGAAATGCGGCCTGATAAAACAAAAATAAAGCTATTTCTCCCGACCTTAACCGACATACACCTCGCGATATCAATATCGCTTAAAATTAGTCCAAATCAAGATAGCTTAAAATATGTTGGCGGAAAGTGTATCGCTTTATGTCGAGTGCACTGCATCCGCTAATGAGAGTACCTCTTAACTTCAGAGACAAGGCCAATTCAACATGAAGGTTATATATTAGTAATCAATTTCTAAATTAATATTATTGTCAGTTTCTCTTTGTGAATGTTATGGTTTTACTAAAAATAATACCTGTAATATTTGGCCATCAACTGCTTTTGCAACTTGAGTAGGACTTAGAATTTTTCCTTCATTGTTACAGCATCTACAAAATAGTACATGTAGTCTATATGATTATCTCTAAACCCAGTCTACAGTTGCGTTGTATGAAACAGCAGAGAAACGCCACTGTCAGTCTGAAGTCTGCAGAATCCGTTAAGAATTCTGAGTTGGTAGGCTATTGCTGATTAAGTAAATGGTATGCAGATGTACTTGGAATTTAACCTACCTTTTCAGAAGATCATAATCTGAAGATCCTACACTATCACCAACACCAACTGATCCTCCGGATAATATTGCAATAACCTCCTTTAAAGCTGGGTTTACTGTAATACCTATTAATAAATGTAAAGCCTATTAGATGCCCTATTACTGGGTACTATGAAAACCAGAAGGTCTACATGTATGTCATTAAGGCTAATGCTTCAAATGCTTTAGATTGAAATATCGTGAAGTTTTCAGAAATATTTAACAACCCCTACCGTGACCGGATTTAGTTCTGAAGACACTTTTACCAAGCCGTATAGGAAGAGAAGAAACAAATAAAGCTTTTACTCCAAGCGACCATTGTCCTGAATCATCATTCACACTGATCTGAAAGAAAGTGGTTTAAATGGAGTCAACTGCACTATTGAAACAAGTCTCCGTAATGGTGATGTGACAACAGTCAACTCTGCCTTGAACATACCGTAACACACAAAATATAATATTCAATAATTTATTAATAACCAAGACCAAAGACTATATTAGACCTTGCCAAGCCTATATAGAATTAAAAGAAAGAGGTTACCTGTGTAACTGCTGGAGTTACCAAGGTTTGTAAGATATGACGAGGACAAGCATCATTATACAAAATAGTTATATTATTTCTGTAGGCTGCTGACGACATACGACTCAACCAATCGTTAGCTAGATGTAAATCAGTTTTAGTAGAATTCATGGATAAAAAAGTGTCACTCAATTTGTCCTGAAATACAATATGTAATAAATCACGTTTTGATATCGATTGATATTTTATTCTATTAGTTACCGGGAAAATAAGGAATAATGTAATTTCAAATTTCATTAAAAAATGAATAGGATACCAACTGTCTATGGATACCTCAAATAAATAGACGATTTTCTAAGAGGAACTTTGTTATGTTCGTATATGATTTTCATTTTGCTTATCTACTGTTATAACCAAATAATTAAATAACATGCTTACTTGTTCATAAGTTTTTATACCCCATGATCTTGCTGTCTTGAAAATTTTATCCCAAAATGCCTGGAAACGTTATTGAAATATTATCAAAAAAACTTTTTAAAATTGAACGCATATTATATGTTATACGGAGTTGTGTCTTTTCAACCATTTAACTGGTGACTCTATTAGACACATTAGGTGTAAAAGCAACATACATGTATATAAATTTGTAGTTCGTGAAGCGCAGAGAGTGACCATTTCTATTTCCACCTAAATTATATTGTAAGATTCGGACAAAAATATACTCTTGGAGGAAAACATTTGTGTGTTGGTGCAATTATAGGAACCATCTTACTTGACTAATAGGAAGAGCAATATTGTTCTCTACTATAAAATCAGAATCACTACCATTGACATAAACATTGTCAGCTGCCCTACAAGATATCAATTCATTCACATATAAAACTGTATCTAGATATATATGTTTTCTCAGATTGTTAAGATATGTCGTAGCACCTGCTCACCCTTCTGAAATAACTGCGATTGGGGTTGTCAACCATTTATGTTAATTTTCATCTTATCATAGGAATTGTTCTATAGTGGTACACGATCACCAGCACAAATCTTAGAATTCAGTTACTATTGATTGGTCAGAAAATGTTTGAATTTTGTTTTGGGGACAAGTCTACTTACCACATTCCAGCATAAGCCAAAAACTGAACACCAGAGGAATTCTGTAGTGCTCTAGAACAAGAAATATTGATCAGTTCTTGTCAGGTAAAAAAGGGGTATTTTTTAGTTTTTGGAGAGGTTAATTTGGTATGATTCACTTGATTCAATCAGTTGATCTGTCATTTTCAATAAGACAATTCTGTTGTACACGAATGTACGATATCTATTGTTCATCTCTAGGTTTTCGTTAAAAAATATATCTAAATGATATGAATGTAGATCCTTACTGTAAACCATGTGGTAGTTCTGTTGGTGATGGACTCCACTCCTTTATTTTACCATCAGTAGATTTGACATACCACCAATTATCCAACTGAACATATCTCAAATTAGAGAAAATAGTAAAAACTCAGTAACATTTGTTAGTAATTTCTTTCAATCCAGAACAATTTAAGATTATTGGCAGAATTTCCCAAAATGACAACTAAAAATAAATTCTGATTCGTTATGACTGTTCTTTGTCGCTATTAGAATAGACTAGAGACAAGCCAAGAAATAACCATTAGTACTAATACTGATAATACAACCCTTTATCATTATTTTGTTTTTAAATAATAGATCTACCTGTATTTAAAGCCATTCTGTTGAGATTCTAAAATAACGTCGTGAATAATTTGTTCGTATGTGTTACCAGTTCCAGGTGAATCATAATATGCTGATCCTAGAATTTGGAAAAAAAAGTCGGAAATTTATTTTATTTATTTATGTATTTTCGTTTTCTGCTCCAGGAATCTCATCATGTGAATTATGCATTTGTCAATATTCTGAAAACTGAGAAACATGAAGATTACTATGTATATAGCTATGTACTTTATGACATATTTCTTCAAGTTTGTGTCTATATGACATTCTGACGATTTTATGTTAACAATAAAGTCAAGTTTGGCGTTTGGTTATTGTAGAGGGTTGCTAAACAAATAATCAAAATTAATAATAATTACAGACTGTACTACTGCCTAATAATATTTTATTACTAAGTTTTTAATACCTGGTGATGTCCAATAACCAATATATTGTCTAGATATATCAGCATGTCTATATCGTGGTGTAAATGCTGTAGTTGTATAGTATATAAAACTACTTAAAAAAAATCCCCACATACATAAGCCCTGAAAGGAGACATTACTTCTATATTATATTCTTGTAGATTCTGGTGAAACAAAATCGAAATGGCTGCAACTACATACCATGTTACATAGAGTAACATTACTCAGATTGAGCACTTCCTGCTCGCGATCACGCGGGCATTTATATTATCAATTTAAACATGTCAAGTAATATATCTTACCTTACGTATCGAAATATCGAAACTAAGTGTTGTTTGGTATGTAAAATTAACAGGTATCTGGTCCACTCCGCCCATAATACCCCAATATAATCTGTTATTGGTCTTATCACGCCAAGTTGAAGCAGCCATAAAATTATCAGCCTGGGAGATGACTATTGTACGACCAGTATGATCAAATAAAGCAACTGGTCCTGAACCTTCTAGACTATCTGGTATAAATGCCGTCTTGTTCCATCTGAAATGTTCAGATCCCCGTTAGTAAAAATACATTTTACGATTAAGAGTTATCGTAGGCAAGAAACAATCTTTTTATACAATTGTACACACTTGATATATATCATAGAAACATTCTTAACTTAAGACCACACAAATAAATATGTCCCGAGTTCTGTCGTCTGTTTTGTGTCACGTCATGTGTAGATAAATGACATTGCATGCCAAGATTAACAAATTAGGGGCTCGTTCAGTAGAAAACACCATATGAAGGTTTCTTAACGTTTTTATATCTGAACACAGTGCAATTCACATTTACCTTCCAGAAACAACTGTATCGATATTTCGATTACTGAAGGTTAAATATCCTAGAGACAGTAAGTCAGAATCCATCTCAAATCCTGGAAAACCACATATAGTTTCCCACTCATTGTAACCCGTAGTATTATTTCCACCATCAACATATTGCTGGAATTATAACATATTTACATCAAAAGTTGCGGTAGAGCAGCCAGGATCATTATTTAACCTTTTATCAGCTTGGAGTTCGCATTAGAATAAATAAATACTTGGCATGACAAATCATGGCCATTCTTCATTCTACACATGATGTTTTTCTGTCGCTGGATTTTACAACTTGTAATCCCTTTCGGCTTGTCAACTTAGCTAAACATGGTTTATGTGCAGTGTATGTTTTAAATTGTCAATATGATATTTGTGGGCACAATTATGTTCATTGTTGCCTTATGCCCCCAGCTAAATTCAGACATTGTTAAAGAGTTGTAGGATGTCCTAGAAAAGGATATTACCATGATGATAAATATAAGCAATACAATTATAACTGTCAGGTCAAAGCAATTGTTATTTCCATCCATAATACATACAAAATGCAGCAACTGTTGATACTTTGCAAGTGTAGAACAATAGAAACAGAAATTCAACTTACCACTTGAAACAATAAATTGGGAGATGCATAAGATTTAACAGTGGCTATGATATTAGTTTCATTAGCTTTATAATGAATATCATATGCAGAATAATTTCCTAGCAAGCCAGGTCCTGATCCAAATGATTGAGTTACATTCTGAAACTCGAGGTTTCCTTCGTCCATAGTATATCGTATTCCGTCTATATAGAAGAATGGTGATGCTCCCACAAGCCAAACGTCTTTATCAACTTTAATTCTGTAACTTCCATCATCTATACCTACTTCTACTGCTAATCTAACATTGCCCTTCGTTCCTGTATAACAAATTCAGTAACAATTTTATATTTAGTCCAAAATATCAATATATAGGTTAGATCCTTGGACTTTGAGCTCTATCCGTACCATTGATGTTATAGTATAACTTGTCTGACCGTCGTTTACGTAGTTATTCTGAACTTACCAAGAATAAAATTGTGCAGTAAAAAAATAACAATGTATATAATTTTCCGGCCCATATTGACTTTCAATAATTGTTATTATCTGAGTATTTCAACATACTGTCCTATATCAATATTGTTATCTTTATTGACCTCTCCCATTTCCTCCATTATGAATTCATTTGCTATCATTGGAATAGGAGACGGAATATTAATGATGAAACATTTACTATTTGATTTGGTCGTGATAAATGGAGTTTTATAGAAGATATTATTTTGATATCATTCTCAAAAAATATAAAAGGAATACTAACTCATTACGAAAAAATGCTTAAACTTGGCGAAATGAGTCTTTGTTCATCAGTGACTTACCTAGTGTCAAAACTATACAACAGAATCCCTCTATATTCCAATAAATCCATAAAACTAAGTAAAATCCATTAAACTATGTAATTTTACAACGCGCTTAGAAACGTTTTAAATAATAGATAATATTGTGCTAAGATTATATTCTGAAGTCATGACACCTGGTAAGTCCGACTGATGAATATTTTACTCTTATTGACCAAGTTAGAGGCATTAAATTTTATGTCCATTAATAAGACGTTTCTTTTTATTTATGGCTTAAGATATACTACCGACAAATTCACCAAATCTTGTAATATGTGAAAAGTAGGTCCTCACTCGTGGAACAGAGTACAATTCGACTATTATCTGTGATATAAAATTTTGTAGTAAGATCTGCCACACCCATCAAATGTTTTATTTTCTTAATTGACAACATCTTTGTTCAGTTTGGCTATGAAATATTTTATGATGTTGTAGACATTCCCATGGTCACAACCTTATGGCTCGACTCATTCCATTTCTCACATGAGACAGATTTATTCGATCTCTTCAAAAGGACCTATATAGATAAAAAGATGTATTATTCTTCTTATAGTTCACCTGATGAACAAAAACAGCAAACAGTATAACTAAAATGACCAAATTTTTTTCAAGAAGTCAAGAGCACTATGATATCGCCAAGAACAAGTTTGGCTTTTAACCACTTATTGTATTGGCCCGAAATCACGTGAAAACTTGTCCTGGCACAGCAAAATAACGATGTACATTCACCAAACGATGAACATTCACCAGCAAATTTCGTCTATTGATAATCTCCTTGATTATTGTTCCACGTTATGCCTTTTATGACATAAGATGTATAAGATATTTCTATATACTGCTTTCTACTCAAAAATTATAGCATAACATAATATTCATTGGGACAATCTAAAACCAGTTTATTTTCATATGATTGTAAATCAAGTCCCCAGGAATTTGTCAGAATGATTTGGTAAAGTCTATTTATTCCTGATTGTATTTGTGTAACTATGTTAAAAGCAAATGCGGAACGTTATTTTCACAGAAGTGAATCCGGAACAAACGCATAGTCGAAAACCGTGTACACAAAAACCGACCAGAGTGTTGAATGTACATACCTTTTCACGACCACTTTCAGGTTACACTTAGGTCGAGGTCTTAAGTTATAAGTATTAAAATGCTCATTATGAACGCCCGACAGGAAATGTAATAACCGAACATTGGGTAGGCCTATGCACGTTCTTTAAATTCCATTTCAATCCAAAGAACAATTTATATCGCTATTCGAAACTCCCTTTTTCCTACTCTATGAAATGTCAAGTTGCCAAGAACGAAGATGTGAACACGAACTAAAGGCCGAATCGAACAAACCAGTTAAACATGCGGAAGCACGTGTGTGTGCGCGATTCACTTTCTGGTGAGCTGGTTTCAGGTGTTACAAGTGTTGTGGTTGAGTACTGTACAGGTAGTGAAGTTTTCGTTAAAATTCTCACAAAATAAACAAAAATATGCAATGTTTTTGAAAAAAAAACATTTTTTTTCCCCTGAAATTGATACTATAATGCTTCTGCATATATCAATCATTTACTGAATTGACAATCAACTTCAAGATAGTCAAAGGGAGCCGCGATGGCTCAGTAAGTAAGACGTTAGAGTTTGAAGGTTCAGGATTCAATCCCGGCAAAATTTCCCTCATTGTACCCTGCAAGGCGTTTCCCGTCTTCATTAGCCCACACGGTGCAGAAAAGGGCGTAAAAATCCATTGATTTCATTTCTCTTCAAGATAGTCAAATATATGATGACAATTTTACTACCCTACTGACCGACCACAGTATACAAAGAGGACATTTTCAGATCATTGATAAGTATTTGAAAATCTATTATAATTGTCTGAAATGAGGGGCAAGTTGTAATTTCATGGTTAGTCAGGGAATAGTGTTTGTCACGATTGGTGTTAAACTCACTTACAATGGGTATAGTGTCACAAGTCTAAGATACGCGTATTTTGGTGTTTTTCTTTTGTTTTTAGTCTGTTGAAAATGGAACTGCTGAGTTTAACAGTTGTGTGTTTGAGCGTGGTAAGTATTCAGACTGTAAAATAAATTATCAAAATATGATTCAAAGAGTTATCAAATTGCCCATCCCATCGTTCTGTACACAGTCTTATGTTAATCTTATTTTCGTTTCATGGTTTTTATGGACCTTGCCTTTGAATATTGGTTAATTGGTATGTAAGGTTGAATTTATCTTTCAGGGAATTATTTCGGCCATGGATATTCCAGTTGGCTACGTTTTTGACGGTAGGTAATATTATACCAATTTTTGTTTATCGGTTTAGGATATATATATATATATTTTATATCTTTTTCCACAACTATATAGATGGTATATCCGTTATACATGTACCACTGGTATACACGAGGATACTAAATGTTATTTCAGTTGAAGGAAAGATGGTATTATCACTATACGCGTATTAACTGACATTGATATCATGTTATTTCAGTTCAACCAAGTTGTAGTAAAACCATGGACGGTATTACCAGTATACATGTGTTAACTGATTTAGATGTCCACGTGGAAGCAGAATGTAACGATCGATTTTTAGCTCAATTTTCCACTGTTAATTATGTTGACTGGTTTCTAAACAGTACATATCAAGGAAATCCCCTCCTTAGCTGTGTTTTTATGGTAGTATCATTTCTTTTCTTAGACCTTCATCATAAAATAGTAATAATCTTATAAATTATTTGATTTATTTGTTATGTTCCATTACAAAAGGAAAGAATGTTAAATATAAAGAATGCTTGTATCAGTTTATAAAATTACTTAAATGTTTCCTGTTTATATACATTCAAGACAACACAAGTATCTAATTTTGTTAACAATTGAAAACTTTTGCTAAGACATGATAACTTGTTTTGTCCTTGATGTCAATTCGGTCTTAAGCAACAAACTTAATGTCTGAGCAAATCAAAACGTTTTTAGAATTTTTTCGATATTTTTTAAGAGATTGGAATATCAGAATCAAAATAGTATTGTTAATCTTAGAATGTCTTTGCGTTAATAAAAAATATAATCTTTTGTAAGTTTACATTGAAAAGAAACACATTTCTCTCCTGGAAATTCCAACCCTAATATGTCACTAATTTTGGATGAAAATAATCGTCTGTAAAAACTTTGAGGACATTATGTGTGCTCATACTTACATTTTTATCAACGCAAAGATATTCTAAGACTGACAGTAGGCCTATGCCTACTATTTTGAGGCTACTTTTCTCCCATACTCTTTACTTTGCTCAGATAATAGATGTTTTGTAATTGAATTATTGTATTGAATGGATACTAGTTTCTAATCTGAATACGATTTATTTATTTTTGAATAGAAAAAGAATGTCAGTAACTCGTTTATACTATTCCTGTCTGTATCGTGGGCTGAACCTGGTGAAATCATGTTAAATCACGATATCTATATGATAACCTGTGTCATGGATGATCATGGCAAAACTGCATCGGATGTCAAAACAATCAAACAAGGGTAAGTATTTATGGTAGTGGCGGGTGTCGCTCGTAAAGCAAACAATGCTTACTCCTTTCGGAACGCCGATTTTTCCATTGGATTCACAGAATTGTTTTGCTTGTACGGATTTTTATTTACTAATGACTGCATACATGTTAGTATACATTGTGTTGTCTGTATAAATCAACGTATCGAGGGGGATAGAGCAATTCCAAAAAGGCTAACAACTATTCGACTATTTGGATTTTAAGTAATCTTACACTTATGGTTAAGGTATCATTGATGTATTTCAGATTGCTTGGCCCACGAGAAATCCAGTCGCATATGGGAGGAGACGCTAGTTCAGGCTTTTCACTTGAGCTGACAGATGTACGTGGTGACGCTCTTGGTAATATTGTACCCATAGGTCGCAGAGTTCGTTTAACGGCAAATATATTGGGTAGGTTTTATTGAAAATACCAGATCCCATATTGTATTTTTATGATGTATTCGATATGTAATCGTATAAATAGTGCTTCTTGAACATTTGTCTTTTATATTATTTGTTGTTCCAGCCTCTGCAGATCCAGGTGCTGCTGATGAAAATGGAATTCGGGCTGTCAGTTGTGATGCAGTTGGCGGAGACAGTACATATAAAATACTTCGTGGAGGGTAAGAGCAATTTATTTAAAGAAGCTTATTTAAAGTTTTCTATTGTATCACAGCTCTGATTTTTTTTATCTTCACTATTAAAAGGACAAATCCCAAACAAAACTTTTGGTAAGGATTCAGTCAGAATTTGCTATTGAATTTTTATTTAATCAAGCTGGCAAATTTCAAACAGTGATGTTCGGTAACATGTGAGTTTATATTATTTAGATGTGGTGATGGAATGGTTATACCAAAGAATATTGGGTTTACTACAACTGGACTTAAATCAGAAAGTCCTGTGTTTACAACATTTAGATTAGCTAAAAGTAAAACGGTGTCGTTTCAATGTAACTTTACAACCTGTGTAACCAACTGTGATGGTGTAAGTGTACTAAGTGCGAGCATGCGCTAGCATTTAAATCATTTATTATTCGTACACAGACATATCAATTTGTTTCATTGATTACAAGTGATGTTTATAGAGTAAGAAATCCTTGTTTATCTAAATTTTGTTGTAATCTTGATCGAAATTTCTCAAAAACTGTAGATTCAAAATGTTAGCTATTCATATCACTTTTTAGACTGGAAATGTGTCGATGAATTAAAGTCCATAGTCACTTGATCTCTGTATAGAGAGTGGGCGTAAAACTTATTTCATTTCATTTAGTTGCATTTTAGTTTGGATGTTAGTTTGTAACAACGTTCCATATTTAACATTATAGGATTCCTGTGTAGTAGAAACCGACTCTAGAAGACGAAGATCACAAACAGGTCTGACTTTATAAACATTGATTTTCTATATTGATTATTGTGCTAATTGCTTCGCATATACCTATATGAATAAATCGTATCCATCTTGCATTGTAATAAGGCAGTTTTCTGTTGTCAGATTCGTAAGCCCATCAGTCTGTACATATGCTACTGTCATATTGTTGTTAAACCAGATAATATTTCCATTGATCTTTTAAACTATGAAAAAATGGCAATTATCTTAATATAAATAGTCTAATGATGGCACTGCACGAATTTACATCATTCTGCTTATTTTCATGACCTATTGACAGTAGTCACCCATTTGAACTATTGAGTAATCAGTCTGATTTCACCGCTCCCATGGTATACATATTCCAAAATATGAAAATTAAATCGGCGCATATTCCTAATGAAATTATCTTTTGCTTTATTTTACTTTTATAGAACCCCAGGTTTTGATACCGTTGCGTCTTGATCTGGAAATAGAACCAATAGATGACGATACTGAAGAGTTTTTATTTTCTGATAGACAAGCGCCTGTAGTAGATAATTCTTTAGACACTGAAGTTATTAACCCTTGCAGTATTCCTGGTATGTCAATGGAAGGTTGTCCGGACGAACATCTTGAGAAGAAATTCCCTGTCGGTATGACGGCACTAATGGTTATCGTGATGGTGGTGTTCCCAATGTTACTTGTTATTGGTCTTGCTGCTTTCTTCTGCTGTTGGAAAAGTGAATCGTATGGTTTAAACCAAGATTCAGAGAAAAATCAATCTTAACTTGTTTGTTTACTACTAAGTTATAAATAACAATTGTAAATTAAATGTCGTATTTGTATTCTCAGTAAAGCACAATTTTCATGCAAAAACATCCCCCATTTAATGTTCAAACAACGTGTTTGTCATACGGAAGTATGCTCAAGTTGGAAGCACATGCAAATGTGCTTGACAGTTGACACAAAAACACTTTTAGGAACGGAACCACAAACCGCCTATCTTAACAATCATCAGACTATTGTGGTTATGCAGCGAGCAAGGGGTTCCTTACAATGCGAAGATTAATGTACTATTCATCAATTCATACAGCCAGATTCCGACCAATTTTAACTATCTACCTCAATGAAGTTAGCAACCTTTCAAGAATCCCTTTCATGTATATGAATCTAAGTAGTAAAGAAGTCATTAGAAAATTGCCATCCTTCATCCTGGGGCTTGTAACTGCTGATTAAGATGGTGTTTCAATTCGGTTATAGGTAAAATATTGACGTTTACCCACTTCGAACCCACGACATAATTTCGCATTTATAACAGACGTTAAAGACTATTCAAGAAATCAATTGTGTTCTATTTCTAATGAGTTATCTAACTTCAGTTTATCGAGTGTAACGAATGTAAACAATAGCCAAGCAGTGTAATTTAGTCCTGTAATGGTGTTCAACATGTTAATATACTAATCAAACTGAGAAAATGAAGGATATTAGATTGCTATGGGAACTAAAGCTTCAATTTTAAATACAAAGAAAAGTCAAGGTAAAGATTTAGCATTATATTTAATCTTTAAGCACTTAGATTATGAGAATTTTGTTTTGAATATCGATCACGGATACACATTTCACACTTTCAATTCTTCAATTGCGACGTATTGCGTATAATTTAACATTTCATTGAAATGAGTTCGCGACGTCACCGAGAAGCGATCAGAAAATGGTTTATTAATTATTCTTTTCTGAAATATATTATAGGTGAACCAAAGAAAGATGTAAATAAAAATATAAGAGGAGATTTAGCTAAGAAATATGAATCTCAGACACAGAGGCAGACGAAAATGATGGACATGCAACGGAAGTTGGCTAAGAAGGCGGAGGTAAGTAGTAAATTAGATATGCTTATTGTTAATATCCCCAACCCTTTGGGTAAAACTGAAAGGTGGTTCACTGGTTTCTAGCATTATGCCATTGTCTGTGTGATTATATCATGTCAAACTCTGTTATAATCCATGTAGTATGACATTAAATGAAGTCAAGAAGAAAAGTAAAAATGTAGGTTAATATAGTAGAATAGACAACAAATAACAAAGACAACAATCGTGATAACAATTGTAACAGATTGAAAGCACGCTTTAAGCAAGATAACCTATTTCTGCTCATTCGGGTTTGATTCAAACATGAGCAGTCCAGTTTAGTTTTAGGTAGAAAAATAGTTATTGAAACTATACGCACTAAACTTAAATTGTGTTATTCATTACTTAGCCTACCTAAAAAAAATAAAGTGAACTTCTTATGCTATGAAATCGGACCCGGATGAGAATATCTTTGCTCGACTAATCAAGTACTTTCACTTACATGAACAATGGAAATCATTAGTCTAAACTTGTAAAAAGATCTAATTAATTAATCATAGTTTTGTTATACTTTCTTTGTATTATGTTATAAACTCACCATGACCTTATAATCAATAGTTTATTAGTACTTGTAATAAACAACACCTCACTAATGACGTTATTTTTGTCTGATGAACAATAAGATTATAATCCGAGGTTCTGAGAACTTAATATACTCGTGGTAATTACAAAGTTTGTCCCGTTTCTCACTTTTTAATACTAAGCATTGCTTAGTGTTGGTTTGCAACAAAATAACATAAATACAACTGAAAACCTACTAACCTAACAGAAAACCCGTCACGCCCAATTTTATGATATTTAAATTAAAATAAAACGTTAAATATTAGGTTTATTAATAGTAAATTGAGTTAAATTGTAATAAAGTGTAATAAAGCTCTTGAGAAATAATTCAGTGAAGATTACTATAATAATATTAATGTAGAATATCAAGTGTCTATAGAAAGACAGTCTATTTTATATTTATTTACTATCTTTATGTGTAAATAAATATTGTTTACATCGTATTATTGTAGTCTATTTTATAGGTGTAGGGTATTTGTTTTGCTATATCAACATATTACGGTTAAACAACACAAAAGAGACAAGAACACGACTCCATAGCTCATATATTTACTATAAAAAAGTATATGTTTGTAGTTTGTAATTAATGTCAGCTCCATGCAAATTCACGTTCATGTTGGACACTACATGTCACGTATCTCATCAAATTTCAAGGGGTATGGCTTCAAAGAATGAAAAGATCTGAAACTTACGATTGCCCTTTTCTTTCTCGACACCTTAATTTTTTAAATTTTAAATAGTAATGAAGCCAATTATAACACTTCAAATGATTGTATCACGTGCTAAAATTGAATTTGAGTTATATTATAGATTGATGGCAATGTTTTCACAATGAGTATTCAAGAATTCCTTACACACAGAAAGGATATCATTAAATGAATACACCTTTTGGTTATTTGAATATTAAATGACCAAGAACAGGAGATGTATGATGTCAAGTCGAGGTTCCGGATAAGCATAAGCTTCGGCTTGTTTCCGAAACCTTACTTATTTTCTGTAAAAATTTCATTTAATATAGAAATAAAAATATTGTTTAAACCAAGTCGAGTTATCCACGGATATCATATGAAACGATTCATCCAAATTTGTATATTTACCAGATTGTTCGAATAAATTAAACCATCAATATTCTCTCTAATTTCCAGCAATATAGTGAGAGAATGTTAGAAGAAAAAGACAGATTATCAATACATACTAGATCTCTAACCACTTCTCAGACAACATCAAGAACAACATCACCCAATATTTCTAAAAGTAAGTAACTTTAAAATACTTCTGAATCAACATCACCTATTAGTTCTTAAAGTAAGTATAACTTGATAAAATATTCCAGAACATCATCACCTAATATTTATTAAAGTGAGTATAACTTGATAAATAACTATTCCGTAAAGCATCAATGTCCATAGTTGTATTTGTTAATTCTAGAACGTTTATCATTTCAGAGCATGTACATTTCCAGGAAAATATAGTCAATTATTGTGATAATGATAAAGATAAGAAAGAAGACATAAACACAACGAATGTTATCAAAGATAATTTACAGACTATTAATGAAAAGAAAGAATTTATTGGAATTCCTGTTGAATCCAAAGATTCCTGATATCTTGGTGATATTTTCATGAAGTGCATCAGAATTTAACTGACTTTTAAGTGACACAGTTCTTATTCCGTATAGCAGTAAAAAAAAATGCAAATGCTTGGAATAAAAGTATTATTTTGATATAAATAAAAAAAAAACATCAGATTAAATGCCGAAAACTTTTGTTGAAGTTTAGTGCAATAATTTAATGTTACGAACGACATGCATGCTTGTAATGTTGATTGTGTGTTACAATAACCACCGGGAAGCGGGTTGCATATAATGACAAATTCAGTCTGGATGGTTATATTCTTTGGTAAAACATTTATCTACAGGGACAGTTTACTTAGAATAAGTCATAGTCGTGGCATTGTTCAGCATGGAAAGTCAGGTGACATCTAAATTCTTGTATTTCTTCGATGTTCCTGTCGACCTGATTAAAACAGAAAATGTGGGAAAGATAACTACCAAGAGGTTTAACCAAAGATTAGCTGGTAGACAGGATCCTGACAACCTAAGCATAATATTTAAACAATACTGTGTCTATATATTGTATAGTATTACAACATAAATGTAATAAGATGTGAATGAAAATTTTGTGTCGACTATATTTCGTTTTAAAATAAAGTTGTGTTTGAATACATTTCTATAATCTTCATTGTCTAGAGTTGTCACACGATTATCTCATAGTTTAGCGCAAGTTACAGCACTTGAGTCGAGAACAAATAAATGAAATTCAGCCAATGATTTTGAGAATCATGTTTCAAAAACATTGTGTATACTCTAAGCAGGAAGGTAATGTAGATGATAAACAAAAAGAAATTTCATTGGAATAAACACAGTAAATTAAAACAGGTTGCACTTTATTTAATAATATTATTTAAAAACCATAGTGGCAGTGTTTGGTTGAGAAGAAGAAGGTCCTATGGTAGTAGGTCTGGTTGATTGAAGTTGTTGAAGCTGGATCATGTACAGGATTGTTAAGCCTGGAATTGAAATACATCGTGTGTTTGTGATAGCTCATAGCTAGTTTTTGCACAACCCAGACAACCATCGACCGAATCCGCCATCTAACACATCAGAGCTTGCGATGGCTGAAATAAGTAAGGGTATGTTCGGATTCTTAACTACAAAAGCTACAGGGATTTTAACCTCGCCCACAGACTAATTTAATTATATTGCATGAACATATCTACATGGATTGATTTTCTTTCATAAAAACGCCCTACCTATTCGAAATATTTTGAGAACTCCTGATGATCAACAATACCATATTCTATAATACATGAAACAATAAAGACAATTACAATATTACACACTTGACAAAAATTATGCTTTATTATCTGGAAGATTTAAGAACGGTGAAAGATTTCGAGTATAAGGAATCTGTTGAAATTGTCGATACAAAAAGAAAGAACATTGTCAAATTGTTAAAAAAAAATGCTTGAAAGGCGGAAGCAGTTTTAGAGTAATCACAACACATTTAACTGGAAATGACTCTATCACACTTCATCATTACACGCCTCCTTTATTGCAGTCACTTATGGTGAGATCTATTCGATGAAGAATACCATCAATATCAGTTTCTTTAATCATATTATTACCATTATCACATTATTTATATAATAAGGCACTAGCTTCTTTTGCCAGGAGAGGTGCATCAATATCAAAATGAAAGACAAATTCTTCTTTTGACACGTTGGTATTAACTACAATAGATCATTCGAGTAATTGTACTTTACATTGGTGGATTATTTTTGAGATTCAAAACTGGATGGAGTCGTTTCTAAACTTTGAGTAGCTGAGATTGTGACACATGGTTTCAGTTGACATTAGATACAAAAATTAACTTGAACTGGACCTTCTAGGTATTCTTCACTAAGACTATAAGTTACAAATTTGTAAACTGATCACCCTAGCCACTCTTACTAAAGTGGTATTAAATTAACAACTCACGCAGCAAAAGTTGATACGTTGAAGAAAACAACCAAAATTTTCCTTTTTACACAGTTTATGCCCTACTTTTCTTTCTTGTTTTTTTTACTACTTCTCTTTACAAATAGTTCGAGCTACTTTTGGACAAGAAATAATATATATACCAAGTAGGTATTTGCAATGATTTTAGACACTTGTCCTCCGTTTATTGACTTTTCATTGATTCCTGCTGAATAAGTAACAAATTAATAAATCTTTTCACAAGGAGTCCAATAAATTCAAACTTACATTTATTTTTTCTTAGCTTGTTTGTAATCAGATCTCAGTATTAATAATGTTGTGATATTTGTACCAAATTACGGACTATTAAGAAAGAAAACAGTTGAAATTGTTCTCAGGATAAAACTCAATCACGTTTAATACCTTCAATTATTACAAGTATAGGTAGTGCATGCACATAGCATATATGAATATGGAGAAACCACATGGACACATTTTAACCTAGAATATACAAGAATGTAAAATTGTGAATACTTGCGATGGGCTCACCATCTAATCTATAGCAATCCGCATGAGCGAAACCATCAGCTGGAAGGTCGTAGATTCCGACCGTTTATATTTTTGATATCAAGTAAAACACGAGCGACTGACAGTAACTGGAGGCACCGATTCTGACAATATCAGAAAGAGGCAACTGCAATCTGGCAGCAATTGGGGGCAACTGCGATCTAGCAATCAGCTAGAGGCAAACGTGATTATTAACGATTCCATGCCACCAATTCTAGCAGTTTGGTGGCATATTACTTCATTCGTCGTTCTTTATTTGAACATAACTTATCATTGGGCAATGATACTTGAAGAGAGGTAAGATATACTAGAAAACATTCTGTGAATTGAAAAATTTAATTTATCTGTTTTAACCCAGTACTTTATTTTGTGCTTCTTTTTCTGCTTGTACTTGTAAAAGGAACAAGGTGGTCAGCAACTGAAATAGACAAACAAATTATATTACTAAAGTACCAGGTAGATGTCCAACTTCCGATATGATCCAAGTAGATATATGCTCAGGACAATAATGACGAAATTTGCCTTTTCCCCATCAGGGACAGTATATGCTCACAGGACATAGGAATAATCAAAATTCTGTTTTTGGGCTTTATCATCGATATGATAACTATGAACAAATAAAAATTTGTTCTGATGCGTGAGTTTCTTGATAGTCTGGTCAAATTTGATCGCAGATGTATGTATGTATAATCAAGTCTGCAGAGTAGCAGTTCGAGAAAAATTGTAGCACTTCGAGAAAGATTGTGTCAAATATACCCGTGATGCTGATAAGATGTTTAAGATTGCCCTAAAGTTAGATCAGCGCACGATATACTTCAAATTGTAGCTTTATTGAAACTACTGAAATACGTAATACCGGGAAGTATTAGAAAGCTACCTTACCTCAGTATAATAAGAAGTAAATTCTGCTTTTGAAATTCTTCCATCATCTGTCGATTGAAGACGTAAATGTTTCATATAATTCGCAAAATATTGTTCATTCGTTCATATGCGGCACTGCAATGATTTCTTCGAATCCTATGAACAGTAGGGCATGGTATTCAATAAATACAAATCCGGTCAAATATTTTAAATATGGTATTTGGGGATTATAATTTAATATACTTACGAATTATATGATCCATACGTTTATAAACACCATCCAAGTCTTTTGAATCAAAAAAGCCATCTTGATTTTCATCGTACTCGGCAAATAATGTCTTTGCTAAAATAGCTAATGTTGGTTCTGCCATATCAAATCCAAATTCAAATTCGGCTCTAGTTACTTCATTGTCACCTGGATGAACACAGATAGTGTATTGAAAAAAAAATGTATATCAATAATTAGACTGCTTCGTAATTTTCTAAATAAGAGCTGGGTCAGCTGATTATATCCTCGTCCTCAAGCCTCATCATTTTTATGGTAAATATGTAGGTTATAGGTAAATAGGTTTCCATCGATTAGGAAAGAAAAAAATGTTGTAAAATGCAATTTTCGTTACTTCCATAGTAAATAAGAATGCATGATAAATTTACCATTCAAATCGTAGTCAGATATTGCAGCCTGCAAGTCATCTCGATCAAATTCACCATTTTGATTTAAGTCCATACTTGACCACATTTCAAGAGCAGTTTTAGCTACATGTTTTTGAAATGCTTCTACATCTGGATCGATTGTTCCCTGGCTAAAAAAAAAGTATGTAAGAAATGTTATTGTTTTAATCAATCGTTGGTAGGTTATATTTTATTTGAATTGAAATCGCACTAGAAAAATACAAAGTATGCAAAGACGAACTATATATAATATAGCAGTATAAGCTGTTTCATAGTAAAAAATAGTAGCCAGGGTGGAAATGAACAATATATATAACTACTTCGAATGACTATCATGGTTCCTTGTCTAAATGGCTAGTAAACTGTACACAAATTACTATTAGATAAAATTAAACTACATACTAAACAAAAAATAAACTTACGCGACAATAGCGTGTATCAGACCAAAAACAAGCAATAACATCATCTATCAAGTATAAAAAGAAATAAATTTGAAAACTTAATACTGAATCTTCAGACTAATCAATGCCGTTTTTTTAAGTATCGGCACTTTTACAAACAGGGTGGGATTTATACAAAGATGTTTGACAAATTAACTTTCATTTTTCTACATGTATGTACTTCTGTCCGAAAAATCAAGCAATGAATGGTATGAGCTTGATAATGATGTTTCTGAACTCGTAGAGTAAAAATCAAAATGGCACTGCTTCATCCTGTATGGTCCTAAAAATGTTAAAGACAAAACTACAGAATGACTATGAAAAGACCTTACCTTAATACGATTTATGTAATCACTGAAAAGATTCTGTTACATTTTTTTTATCTTGTTAAACTACTGACTTCTTATCTTTGGCATTAATCTCTATTAATAGGCTAACGAAATTCATGACACGATTTTGAATTCGGGGAGGAAATTGACGTCTTTTAACAGTGCAAAACTGAGAACATATTTTAGTTTTGGCATGTAAAGGATAGAATGGCGTTACACAATTTGCGGTTTGATAATCCCATTATTACTTCAGTGATCTTGATGGTAGAATAATGGTGGAATAAATCAGGTTTAACCCCATTCTCGTGGGAAATCCAGTACATTATATCTATTGGACCCCACCCTTCCCCCATTCAAAAGTTCTATTGATAATCTTCTCCCAAACCTATCTAATCAGGTTCCTTGTAGAATGAATTAGGTTTAAAGGCAATTGTGTCAAATATTGGTCCTGAAGTCGTCACAATTTGTCGAAATCGTCAGTCGTATTTTATTCACCAGTCGTCGTCGAGTTTTTTCAACTAGTTGAAAGCCGGTGCTCACTACTAGAAATTGCAATTTTTCATCTAGTTACAAAAGCCAGTCATAATCTAACGGGGTCAGTCATAATTCTATTTTAAGTTTTTAAGAGAAGTGAAAATACTTTTAAATACATACTTTATTATAGAAACATTGAACAATATATACCTTTTCTTACTTTCTGATATTTAAATAGTAACATAAAGAAATAAGACACAACGTCCATAAGACATACGCCCACACAGTAGAAAAATATTTTCAATACGTAGGAAATGCTGTAAAAAATGTAAAATGTCAAACAATGTGAGTCAAAAGTCTCCACGGACAGTCTACATTATAGTTATATTTTAGAGTGAAAAGTGACAAAGAAAACTAATACAAGATTAATAGAGATGTATTTTAAGAAGGATTGTGATAAATGGAGGTTCATATCCTTAAATCTAGGCGGAAGGATGGCTCCATAGTAAACTCGTCATTTTAGCGGTTAAGCATAAAAACAAAGACGAAGAAGATAAAGAGTACAAGGGATATAAATAAATGAAAATTTCTAATGGAGATTAAGAATGGATAATGGAAATATGTTGGCCATGATGTGACAATAATCTAGAAGATTAAAATGATGATGATGATACAAGATGGCCAAATGTAATAAGCAAAGCAGTCGACACGAAACTTTGGCACATTTGATTGCTGAATCTTGGCGGAAGAGTGGATGTAAAGATTACTCCCCATTTTAGCGGTAGAATGTAAAAGAACAAAAGGGTAGAAATGTTTAAAAGATAAAGAGCGCATTTGATATGAAATATAGATAACTATTTATCGGAGATACAGAATGAGCAATGGAAAAATGGGTGATGTGGCAAGAATCTAAAAAGAATGACTATGATGATAAAGAAAAAACCATCAAATAACTAATTAAGGAGAATGGTAGAAAAAGGCAGCCGCAAAACAATCTCAGCGTACCTCCAAAACAATGTACACCTGTAAACAAGTCAGTGCTACCACAGCAGTCTACACTAAAACTTGGTACATTTGATTCAAAACTGGTGAAACCAGTCATCAAAACCAATTCAAGTGACTTGTCAATACCAAAAACATCAAAAGAAAAGAAACAAACACATCCTCCTCCAATTGACTCTTCTGTTGGAAGACATAGGATACAAAAAGGACAATGGGAATATGTTGGCGATAGTCTAACAATAATCTAGAAGATTAAAAGAATGGTGATACAAGAAAACCATCAAAGAACTAATTAAAGGGTATTGTTGAGAATAACATCCAGCTGGAAATTCCAAGATCCTCCTCAATGGTATCAAAGCAGTCTACACTAAACTTGGTGCATTTGATTCACAACAGATGATACGATGATAATAAAACTTCATTATAAACCTGGAGAAACCAGTCATCATCACCAATTCAAGTCAATACCAAAAACATCAAAAGAAAAGAAATATACACACCACTGTTGGATGGCCTCTATCATTTGATACGGATAATGAATAATTTTTTTTATTGGAGATACCGAATGAGCAATAGAAAAAAGATGATGACGTGACAAGATATCATTTTCACAAATTTTCATCAAATCATGACCCATCCTTCTCATGTAAACACACTCACCATTAAACAAGTCAGTGGTACCAAAACAGTCTACAATAAAGCTAGGTACATTTGATTCAAAACTGGCGAAACCAGTCATCAGAACTAAATCAAGTGGCATGTCAATACCAAAAACATCAAAAGAAAAGAAACAAACACATCCTCCTCGAATTGACACTTCTGTTGGAAGACATCGTTATCCACCAACAAATCATGATCCATCATTCTCATCTAAACATAATCATCATACATTATCAACCACACCCTGCCTCTTTGGTCACCCAAAACAAAGTCACAAAACTTTGGAACATTTGATTCTGAGCATATTTACTGCCTTATGGGGCCATATGATGGAAGCGTAAAGCCATAGACATAGTATACATCTTATTTTAGCGCCTAGGCATAATAACAAAGGTACGGAAGATGTTTCAATTATAAAGAGTGCAGAGGGTTAAAATTAAGAATAACGTTGTTGTTTTTTGCGGGAGGGGAGGGGGGGGGGGGGATACAAAAAGGACAATGGGAATATGTTGGCGATAGTCTAACAATAATCTACAATATTAAAAGAATGGTGATACAAGAAAACCATCAAAGAACTAATTAAAGGGTATTGTTGAGAATAACATCCAGCTGGAAATTCCAAGATCCTCCTCAATGGTATCAAAGCAGTCTACACTAAAACTTAATCAAAGCATTTGATTCACAACAGATGATACGATGATAATAAAACTTCATTATAAACCTGGAGAAACCAGTCATCATCACCAATTCAAGTCAATACCAAAAACATCAAAAGAAAAGAAATATACACACCACTGTTGGATGGCCTCTATCATTTGATACGGATAATGAATAATTTTTTTTATTGGAGATACCGAATGAGCAATAGAAAAAAGATGATGACGTGACAAGATATCATTTTCACAAATTTTCATCAAAAGAAAAGAAATATACACACCACTGTTGGATGACCTTTATCATTTGATACGGATAATGAATAATTTTTTTCTATTGGAGATACCGAATGAGCAATAGAAAAATGATGATGACGTGACAAGACATCATTTTCCCAAATTTACATCAAATCATGACCCACACTTCTCATCTAAACACACTCATCATACATCATCAACTACATCATAAATCTTTAGTCAAACGTAACTAAACAGAAGCAGATTGAAATCAAAACAGATTCACTACCCACATGTTGGATGGATGGATCCATAGACTTAGTATAGCGCCTCTGCATTAAACCAAAGACACAGAAGATGTTTAAATCATAAAGAGTGCAAAGAATATGGATTAAGAATAGTTTTGTAGGGTTTATTGTTGGAGATACAGAATGGACGATGGAAATTGTGGTAATGTGACAAGAATCTACATGTTTGAAAGAAGTGATGGTGATCATACTATAAAACCAAAGGGGGAATAGTAGAAAACTGCAACCACCAATTAAGTCCAGAGAGACTCTCAGAAACTTATAGGGTCCCATTGTAGAAGGATGCGACAGAGCATAAAACAGGGGAAGGCAAAGAGATGGAGAAAATGTAGACAGAATGGATTATGGAAAGCTAGACAGATAAACAGAAAAGATGACACATTTATTACAATCAATGACTGAAGAAAGCCGAGATATTATTTTTACAATAATAAAAGATGTTTGATGGAGATAAGCAACTTAAAGGTCCATAAAAAACGTGTTATAGACATTATCAAAACTAATAACTTATAGACATCATGAGATCTAATAACTTATAGACATCATGAGATCTAATAACTTATAGACATCATGAGATCTAATAACTTATAGACATTATCAGATCTAATAACTTATAGACATTATCAAATCTAATAACTTATAGACGTTATCAGATCTAATAACTTATAGACATTATCAGATCTAATAACTTATAGACATTATCAGATCTAATAACTTATAGACATTATCAAATCTAATAACTTATAGACATTATCAGATCTAATAACTTATAGACATCATCAGATCTAATAACTTATAGACATTATCAGATCTAATAACTTATAGACATCATCAGATCTAATAACTTATAGACATTATCAGATCTAATAACTTATAGACATTATCAGATCTAATAACTTATAGACATTATCAGATCTAATAACTTATAGACATTATCAAATCTAATAACATAAAAGCATTTTCAGATCTAAATTAAAATAAACTTACGGAGACATTCCAAAATAACATGTTTAAATGTGTGTATACCATGATAAAATCTAGTATATTTATAATATATAAATTTTAATGTAAATGCATGTACTATTATCAGATTATCAGCATGCATAAAATATTAAAAACTAAAAGAACAGAATCTGTATAAAATATATCTAGATTTTGATCTCAGGATTTAGGTCAACAGTACAGTACAGTACAGTGTAAAATAACAAGGACAAGTCTCTGAAACCATAAAACCAATCGGTTTGGCTATTGTTACCCTTTACAACGAAATCTCTTGTTTCTTAAGCTAACAAAATAATACAAATACATAACACAATTCTGTAATTATTTAAAAAAAAAAAAAAAAAAAAAAAGTAAACAGCAATATTGTAATGAAGTCAGAAATTAAAACCATCAAAGAACTATGTAAGGAGAGGTAGAGCCAGGCAACCACCAAACACAATGATGAAATAGATAGTAAGCATGTACTACATATACCTACAGGCATGGGCCAAAACAATGTACAAACCAAAACAAGAGAGTGGTAGAAACTTCCAACTCAATCTAAACCAAAACTTAGTATTTCTGATACAAAGCATGGTTTTACCGTCATCATTACCAATAACAAGTGACGGTCAAACCGCAAACGCTTTTCAAGAAGAAAAGAAACAGACAGCATTACTTTCCTCACAATCTAGCTACTGTTTGGATAGACATCGCCGGTATATGAGATGATTTGTGGTTAATGGACAGAATCAGTGTAGTCTTGTATGAACAAAGATCATTTAGCGTTAAGTATCATTGGATATGTAAGATGAAAGCTGTGGTTAGTTCCAAGGGTAGGATCCTGATGATGACTATCATTTCTAAATCTAAGCTAATATGATATTTTTATCGTTTATACTTTCGAGTTTGATGAGTTTTTGGATTAGTTGGAGGAGTTGGGATATGTGGTAGCTTAATCTGATTTGTGGGAAGTGTGGATTGGTTATTGATGAGTGAGGTAGAATGGGTTGAAGATGTATGACGATACTGATGGTGTTTCACTGATGAACTTAATTGATTGTTGGATGGTGTTGATTGATGAGAAGTAGATTGGGTTGAAGATGTATGACGATTCTGGCTGTGTTTGACTGATGATGTTGAATTTAATTGATTGCTGAAAGGAGTAGCCTGGTTTGAGGTAGATTGGGTTGAATATGTATGTCGAAGATTGTAATGTTTGGAGGATGATGAATTATAATGATTGGTGGAAGGCGTAGATTGATAAGAGACAGAATTGGTTGAAGATGTTTGACGATGCGGATGTTGATGGGAGAATGTTGAATTTAATTGATTGGGGCAAGGTGCAGATTGGTGATGCTTAGGATGAATGATGTGCGAAGCTGAGAGTGTATGATGATGATGGTTTTTGGATGAAGATGCAGACGATAGAGTTTTATCTGAAGCAGAGGCAGATGAAGATGAATGATGATGTTTGGATGATGACGAATGTTTCTTATTGTTGGTATAGGACGTCGGGTGAGTGTGGGAACTAGTTGATGATGTATGATGATTATGTTTAGATGAGAATGATGGATCATGATTTGTTGGTGGATAACGATGTCTTCCAACAGAAGTGTCAATTGGAGGAAGATATGTTTGTTTCTTTTCTTTTGATGTTTTTGGTATTGACAAGTCACTTGAATTGATTTTGATGACTGGTTTCACCAGTTTTGAATCAAATGTACCAAGTTTTAGTGTAGACTGCTTTGGTACCACTGACTTGTTTACAGGTGTACATTGTTTTGGAGGTACGTTGAGATTGTTTTGTGGCTGCCTTTGTCTACCATTCTCCTTAATTAGTTCTTTGATGGTATTTTTCAGTTCTCCAATTTCTTCTTTTAAAGAGTCATTGTCTGCATCGAAACAGTAACTTCGCTCTCTCCACATTTCATGTTCCTTTATAATATTTTTTCTTTCATATTTCAATTCAACTATTTCTTTTTTCTTGGCTTGCAGTACTTGTAATGATCTAAAATAGAAAGTTATTATATAAACTATGATTTTAATAATAACAATATTTTATAAAAAAAA